ACTTGCCGTCTTCAGACCTAGCGTGCAGCAGTCACAACAAATCTAGACAGGATGGAGGGCCACAGTGGAGCCTCTTTGTTAAAGATGCAGCATGTAAAATATTTTCTTAACTAAAATTTACCTTTGAGGTTTGAGATTCCCAGCTGGATCCTGTGAAGAAGTGCCTGTCGCAGGCCCCCTGAGTACGAGCCATCCAGACACCATCGCCACAGGCTCTGTCTTTTACTACTGCCCGACAGCAGTGCTCCTGAGCAAGGCTGCAAATAAATTAAATAAAGATGTAGTAAAACCTGCATCTGACTTCATGTGTATCGATCTGAGGGAAATCACCAGTGCAAAAAATCCTCTTTCGTATTTGTGTTTAATGTTTTTATTCCCACTGACAGTCGAGGTATAATTTTCTAAAATTGCTGCTTTAATACCGGAAACTTCCACTTTGTATGAATTAAACGATAAGTGAGTGTCAGTATTTTAAAGCTGCTACCAATTTCCACAGAGTTAAAGTGATTTTCTATTATTTATACTTTAAAAGCAACCGGTGCGGTACAGTACAGGTCTATATAGGCACTGACTTGTCTCTTTTATAACAGAGCTAACACACTTTTTTGTAACATTCACACCTGCGTCGAAACGTGTGAAGATGCATCAGCTAATTGAATTGAATCTTCTATTTCATGGGTGTCAAACTCAAACTCACACGGGGCCAAAATGAAACTCAGGGACGGAGTCGAGGGCCAAACTTAATATTTTTTGAAAAAGTGATGGCAAATTTGCACATTTTCTTTATCAACATCTATGCGATTTTGAACCTTTAAATTTGGAAACAAACTTAGTTCTGCATTAACACTGAATGTGGAATAACCAAATTACACACGAGCAAGTCAGTTTTAAATAAAAGGCATCAGTGGTATTCATTACTTGTGGTATATTCAGCATTTTTAAAATCTATTCAGGATTTATGTTTTCTTGTTATTTATTCATTTTTCTTGTTTTTTATTCTCCTTTTTTTCTCCTGTAATAAGTGTCATCACTGCCGTGACGTCTAGCTTTCCCCACTGAGGAACAATAAAGGGATTTTCTATTCCATTCATCTATCTGCAGCCTTTCCACTTCCTGTTTATTGTAGGTTAAATCTTTTCTCACGGGCCAACAATAAAATAAAAATATAATTTTATCTTAAATGAAAATGCAACATCTCACCTGTTAACTTTCATGTTTTGGAGCAGAAAAAGAGCATAAAACCAACATATTTAAAGCTCAGTTTGCTCCACTGGTTTACTGTGATGCTCACCTGTTCCAGCCAGATACCTGCATCATGGGGTTGATCTGAGCTGAGGAGGGGACTCCTGTTGTTTTGTTCATCTTCATCATAATAATGACAACATTAGATGACAACAGGTGCTCACATAGGTTTCTGCTGATGAACATGTCTGAGCAGCTTGACCATGTTGTTGTGTGTCGGGGAGGAAACACAACGACAGCAACCACAGAGCCGTGCTGGTTTGAGCGTGTCGCTGCTCGCTGGAGTTATATCAGCTCTGTCTGGACGTTAGTTGGAAAAGTTTCTCTTTCAGTCGTGAACACATTACTGAGCGGCTAGAATCTCCGTTTCTGGGCTTCAATGTCAGAAAACAGCTGAGTGAACTCGGCGCTGAGTGAGAGGAGTGTTTAGTTTGTCCGAGACAGCGGAGCTGCAGACACTGGCAGCAGACGCTGGAAAAAACACAAAGGAGGGGGCGCGTCGGCTCCGCGCTGACACCGCAAAGCATCATGGGAGTGAAGTCTTTGCGGTAAAATCGGCCAGCGGGTCAGTTTTAATGTATTTTTGATATTTATCTCGCGGGCCACATTAAAATGCTCCGCAGGCCAGATGCGGCCTGCGGACCATGTGTCTGACATATGTGTTCTATTTGATCTGGAAGGAACACAAACAAACAAACATGGACAGACCGTGCTACTATAAAAGCAGAGAAGAGCTGCTAAAAAGTTTCAGTTTTCAGAGACAACAGTGCAGCTAAATGGGGACGGCAGTGGCAGAGTAGTTAAGTGCCTGTCTCATAACCGGAAGGTGGTGTGATCGAGTCCCGCTCAGTCTGTCGCAGTTGTGACCTTGGGCAAGACACTTGACCCACTCTGCCTGCTGGTGGTGGTCAGAGGGACCGATGGCACCGGTGTTCGACAGCCACGCTTCTGTCAGTGTGCCCCAGAGCAGCTGTGGCACACACACAACCAGTGTGTGAATGGATGAATGGTTGTGCTGTAAAGTGCCTTGGGGGGTTGTAATACCCTATGGCTCAATGTTCTAGGCTCAACATGTCACATTAATCAGCTAATGAATCCAGAACACCTGCAAAGTGTTCCTGAGCATTTAGAGCCGCGGTGCCCAATCCTGGTCCTGGAGGGCCGGTATCCAGCATGTTTTAGTGGATTCTCTGCTCCAACACGCTTGATTCGGTGGTTGAATCATCCATGCAGCAGCTCATCAAGCTCTGTAGAAGTTAATCTCCTGCTGATTGAAATTAGGTGAGCTGAAACAGGGTTAAACTAAAACATGCTGTATACCGGTCCAAGACCAGGACTGGGCACCCCTGCTTTAGATGGTCTCTCAGTCAAAGTTGAAATAAAAAAACTTTTGCCCCATATTCTAATTTTTCCAGTTTTACCTGCATTAGTATAAATCTGAGGATGTTAGAAAGTGCCTCTCTCCATCAACAGTCTGCTATGGAGACAAAATTCATAAATGTAATTGGGGGCCACACAAAATCGCTCTGAAGACTGTAAATGGCCCTCAGACCACCGTTTGGACACACCTGACCTACAGCAACACTTTTTGATGTTTTTTCATTCTGAGTTTTACTAATATGACGTCATTTTAGAGGAGTGCAAATAAATAAATCACAATAAACTACATTGTGTATTTAAAAACAAATAAAGCAAAGAAATATAAGCTGTACGATGTTGGCTCTTATCTTGAAAAGTTTGGAAACTCCTGTTCTATATTGTCCCTATAGGGTGTGTGTGTGTGTGTGTGTGTGTGTCTGAGATGAACTGGAGACATGATCATGGTGCCTCCACCCCCATGCCAAATGACTGCTGCAGACAGACACCGGCTCCCTGCGATACTATGAGGAGTCAGCGCTAAAGATAACAGATAGATGAAATGAGAATGGTTTAGGAACGAAGGAAAGGATCCACAAAAAAGTTTTTGTCAGTTTAAACCCCTTGGGGGGGGGGGGGGGGGGGGTTAGGGGGGGGGGGGGGTCTGAACACCTACATCTACTGAGTTGCTCCTCCCTTATAGAGAAGTTCAGAAGTGTGAATTCCTGAGGAATTCCTGCCCTCAGGAACCACACATCCCACCCTCTACTCAGAGAGGTTTGCTGCATCTTTCTGTTCTTCACGAGCGAGCAGCGCACGGGACGGCTACCCTGATCAGTGCAGACTCAACCCCTCCATTGAACCCACATTTTCAGTTACTTCCGTCAGGAAGGAGGTTCAGGGTTCCACTGGACAAGAAAGGTGTCTATAAGACATCGTTTGTTCCCACCGCAATTACAATTTAGAATTCTTAAAGTTTTATTTTTCTACGATAACATTCTAATACCTTTTAAATGTCTTTTTATGTATTTGTGTGAACGCGATATGGATTGTATTGTAAGGTGAGCCATGTCAAAGGCGAATTTCTGCCTCAATTCGAGGTGGACAATAAAGTTCATCGATCTATCTCTTCTTGTGTTTGTGTGAAACGACAAACTTTGGTTCACTTCAGACACAACATTTAATTCTGGCTTGTTTTTAAACCTCTGAGCACTTTGAGATTTAGATTAAGCGCAGCACAACTAAAACTTTAGATTAAGTTGAGACGTTGCTCACCTGCAGATGAGTGAGGTGACACGAGGAAGGAAGGAACAGTCTTGATCCCTCTGTGCGATTGCCCTTCCAACCTCACAGCACTCCTGAACAGAGCTCTCTGGTGCGATAATCACAGATTGGGTTAAGAAGCAGAGCTTGTGTTTTAAATCAAAATAAGATACAGCCTGCAGTTTAACTACCAATCAAATCAATGAAATCAATTCCCAAATAAAGCCTCGTGGAACACAACTTTGCAGGTCCAACGTCCTCACTTACCAAGCCCGTTCAGAAGTCCGCAGAGAGAAAATAAAACAAAACCCCAGAGAGCCATCCGGCTGATTTAGGAGAACGATCCAGACGTTGGTGATCTTCTCTGATGCTGGCTGGAGTGAAAACAGAACATCTCGGTGGAAAATTTTGAGAAGGAGACACAGACGTGTCCGTCGGGGAGGTCCGGGGAGGGCGGTCAGGCTAGGGGTGGGAGCTCTAATGATTAAAACAAATCTGATAAGAGCATTTATTTAAAATCACAGCAGTGTTGAAGTATAAGTAAAATGACCTAGAAGATTAAATAAAACACATTTATCAGCTCAGAGTGTCGCCTTATTCTGTGGCTTTTTTATTTTATAATTTCATCCTGCGACTATTTGAAATTCCCCACAGCAACAATCAAAGTCAGCTGGTAACCCCCGACAACACAGTCGTACGTGACGTGTAACCCTGTTTATTATAAATACAGTAAAGTCGGGTAAAGTGGTGCGTAAACCCGCGGTGTAACGCTGTTTTATAACATGTGTAATTCCCAACAGCATCTAATCAGGATGCAGTCATTTAGGACACAAGCAGTACAACGGGAGCCGATTATGACGTCTCTGCTTTATCTCAGACTGATAGCGAGTAAATCAAGGATTGTTGGTACTGCGGTGAAAACAAGGCTTCGTTGTGATTACTGGGGGGGAGGAGGGACAGGAAAGTTTCAACTGGCAGCACAAAGTTGAGACAAATAACCAAGCAGCTCATTTCTCCTCTGATTTGATCATTATTTACAGCACTTATGGTCCTATTTAACACTATAAATACAAAGAAAATACTATTAAAAACAACTGATTTCCCAACATAACGGCTACTTGGTGTGTTAAAATCTCCGGAGACGTGTTTCATGCACCGCAGCTCCTGAAGAAGACTCAGCCTATGATCTATGAGGTTAGGAGGAGCATTTGCAACTTAAACGAGACGAACGCGGTACGTTTGTGCGCTTCAGTCATCACACGGAGGTTATTTACTCCTTTAGTTGTGCATCTACAGTCTGTCTCATTCTGACACGATCTACGTGCAAACCCAAGTCTGCGGAAGACTTTGATCGGCCATCTTTTCTTCAGTTTCTTCATTTATTCAGGGGCTGACTTATCCTGACAGTCAGGAGGAGCTGCGGTTTTGTCTGTCAGGAGCTCAGGACTCTCCTGTTTTAAAGAGCTGGAAGCGTTTCCATCTTCGGCGTCATTCTCAGCAGAGGGCCGGTGTTCCGCCTGCTCCATCTTTGTGTTCTCTTTTTGCTTTTCCTCCTCAGAAGGAAAACGTCTTTCCTCTAGGCTACCCACAACTTCACTCGTCTCCTTTGATCCCGTCTCGGTCTTGTCTGTGTCCGGCTCCTTGTCGTCTGTTGGGCCTGGGTCCACTTTAGTCCCCTTTTCTGCAGGATTTTGAAGTTTGTTGCATTCAATGTGAGCCGTGCTTTCCTCTGCCGTCTGTTCCTCCTCTTCTTCAATTTCCTCCTCCAAAGGGGGGATCATCTGCTCCTCTCTCCCTCCGGGGAACACCCTGTCTGGGTAGATGAGCTTCAGCTGCTCCTCAAAGTATTCCTCCAGGTACAATCCTGCACTTCCAACCTCAGAAGTCGCCTGGGGGCATTAGGATGGTTTAGAAAACAGATTATAAATAAAAAATAATTTGTAGCTTTTTGCAAAAAGTACAGAAGCACCTACCTTGTAGTACTTAGCACAGTTGAAAAATATAAGCCTGACATCAGCCACAAACCCCTCGGGGCCGCTGTAGCGTTCGCCCTCCTTTGACTCCAGCCGTTTTTTCACCATTGATAAATCCATTGGCGTCTTGATTAGCTCTTTGTACCTTCGGGTTTCCTGCAAGAAGAAGCAAACGCGACATCCATCAGCGACCGAGTCATTAAAATGCATTTTAACCATGTTTGAAATAACAAGCTGCCGCAGATTTAGAGCTACAATTACGGACAACTACCGATGGAGGAGCAGGCTGCTGGAAGTCGGTGCTGAAGTCGTTACAGAACAGACGCAGCAGCAGTCTTTCGCATTTCTACATTAAAAAAGATAAAAATCATTAGATTCAACACATTTAAAATGATATTTTCTAAAAAGCTGATGCTGTATTTTGTGAAAACACAAACTTAAGTCAATGCTGAGTGAGAATACCCTTCTATCAACAAGCGGGAACATTTCTACGTCCGGACCAACACGTCGGTCACAGCTGTACTCCATCTCGGGTGAGTCCAGGTCTCGGCAGAACGAGCAAAACCACTCACCACTGAGAGAAACACACACGGGAACACAAAAAGACAAATATTTTACAGAGTTTAGAGGAGAAAAAAAGACAACAGAGGTTCAGAAATGTTTTCCTTTAATCACAAACATGAATATGAACACAAAATACAGTTTTTACACTCTTACTCTGCAGTAAAAGTGTATAACTGCTCAGTTTAAGCTGCACTGGCATTATCCTGGTACACAATAACATAAATGCAATATTCACTGTGTTCAATACTCGTTCAATACCAGATTCACACGGTATCTCCGTGTCTCTTGCAGTATGCTGCATAGTGTTGGAACCCAAGTTCTTTCTTTCTCATTGGTGGTTTTTAGTGGTTGAAGGTTACAATTCTAGATTACTGCCTATGTGCTGCCGTAACAAGTGAATCCCTCCACTGTGGGATCAATAAAGTCTATTCTATTCTATTCTAAAAACATTTGATGATTCTTAACAGAAATAAATGAAAACGAGTTCTAAACCAAACAGTTTCATCGTGGTTTGGTCCAAAAGCAATGTAGTTGGAAACAGAAGCTTTCACTTGTGTGTTTTATCTGGCAGCATTTTAAACGGGGTGGGGTGACGCATCATCTACCTGGGAGACTCGTTCAGAGTCGGGATGTGACAGGCCAGGTGGAAAACTTTGGGACACTTGTCACAGCACAGCAGCTCTCCTCCATTCTGGCACACGGCACACCAATCCTCGTTGGGGTCTTCTTCTGGTTCTGTTCTCTTTTCAGACTCTAGCTTTGATTGGGTCTGAGCACTCGGGTTATTGGAGGCTGACGCAGGGTCTGCAGAGACCGACGGTCCCTTCTGTTGCTGCCGAGGCTTCGACTGAGCTCCGGTGCTGCTGTCTGGCAGGCTCGACCCAACACTAGACTGCACCTAAAGCCAAAAAAAAAAAAAACTTAAACGATTAGGTGTGATTAAAAAATAACAGGAGACAGAAAATTCTGCATTTATTCTTGCATTTGGGGGGAAAAGACGATATTATCTTTCCAGTGGTTCAGCTTTGCATGAATTAAGGTACGTGTCTTACAAAATGAACTTCATCGTCATCTTCTGGTTCGTCTTTGATGATGATAATGGGACCTGGGGACGATCGTCTCCGTCGCTTAGAGGCAGGCGCTGACGGAGGCTCGGACATCTGCTTCCAAAGGGGCGGCCTTTAAACATATATTTCCACAAAGAATGAAAAGAACAGATCACCATAAAACTGTAATATAAAGAGAAAAACAACATGTTTAGGTCTAAACTGTCTGTGGAATCTTTGATGAACCTAACAGAGTACCAACACTATAATAACGATGTTTTTAGATTTAAATCATAGTAGGAAAATTCAATAAACAGTCCAAACTGACTAACATGCTTAACATGAGATACCCGAACCATGATGGAGGGATTTACATTTCAATGGTGGAAAGGAAAAATATCACTATATATTCCCATATCGATATTTTCTTACACCCCTATTCGTTATGCACTCTGACATTTTGGGTCGTCTTCGTGTCTTTTATCTGATACCAGCAGGAACTTTTATCCAGAAAATGAATAATGTGACTAAAGAATCTGAGATGAAGAGTGTCTCACCCCATGCTTCTGTCTGAGGAGGACGGCTTCACCATGGGGGAGTTCTGCCTTTGTTGAGCTGCAAGAAACATCTTAAAGTTAAATGAGAAGCTCTTTATTCAGACTGATTCTCACTGGGGAAAAAAAAATCGGTTCACAAACCTGCCATGTGACTGAATGTGCTTGTTTTATCTGCAGCTGCTGAGACGCTTAGCCCCACGTTGGTTTTCGGGATGGAGATGCTGATGGTCGGAGCAGATCCACCAGCTTCACTCCTCTTTAGGAGGGGGGACTCTGGTAAGTATCTCTGACAAACAAAAACACAACATGCAGAAATGTAAAAGTGGTCACAAATCAGGCGCGTGCCAGACCTTCCTGATGCAAACCTGGTGGAGGGAAATCTGAGCAGCTGCTCCAGCTGTCAGAGGCTGCGGGAAGCGAGACGTTCCCTGCGGCACTTCGATGGGTTTAGGAGGGAAGATGTTGCTGTGGATGAGCTCTCTAAGGGACTAGCAGGAGAAAACACCAAAATAAAGAAACACGTCAGGTTGACAGATGATTCTCATTAATACAAAACAAATGTGTCTGACTTTAAAGATCAACCTACCAGTGTTTCCCCCAGCGCTTTATAAGCCCCACCCCCACCCCCGCTCTCACGGAGGAGCGCTGCGGGACGCGCGACCCCTCCCCCACCCGACGACCAAATCCGCCAGGCTTAAGTCATTTTCTGGGGGAAACCCTGCCTACGTTTAATTCTTGGAAACTTTGTCAAGTTTTATCAAAAGCATTTAATGAGGATCCTCAAAAATAAACTCAAAGAAACCGATGATCAGAAATGTCAAAACATTCTACAACAACAACAAAAATGTTTGTGCCTGATCAAGCATTCAAGACTTTTTTTGTTTTGTTTTTATATGAACTTTATAGATAAAAACCAACATTTTAACAATTAAACTAAGACTTTTTTACATGTTAGTTTGCTGACATGTTTAATCATGTGAAACCTTTGTTGACCTTCTCATATTGTTGTACTTGCTTTGATGTGACGTCGAGTTTGCCAACTTTCAAATGAAGTTTTTAAACTTTATTTTAATTCCTGAAGAGATCGATTTGAGAAACAAATTAAAAATAGAGTTCTAGTTTTTCACCTTTATTACTGTGTGATCCAAGTTATTTTCTGAAGTGTTTTATATTAAAGTGAAACTGTTTCTATGTATGTTTAGAACAAAATCAAACTGCTGACTAACACTGCTTTTCCTAACAAGCGTTGCTGGTGAATGTCCTCCACACGCCTGCAGCTCACCTGTGAAGCTGTGAAGTTTGGGTTCTGAATCATCGACGGCGAGGAGCTTCTAGGGTTAGGGTGGACGTTCCCATATCTGCGCCCTGGCTGTGCCATGTTGGGGGGGCCCTGGGAGGGCGAAGACCCTCCGTGGATTGGTCTGGTCGGAGGCGGTGGGCCGGGAGGTCCTGAGAGCCGGACATTTTGGACACTCGGGTACCAGGACCAGTTGTTGGGCGCGGGCTGTCTGTGAGGCTGATGGGAAAGCTTGTCAACCTTGGACGGAAGAGTAATTCAGCAAGTTTATGTACATATAAAACAACTTTGGTCTAAACGTTTTAGATTGACCGGATTATTGAGATCCTAGCAGTGGGTCAAAGGGCATGTCGCGGCAACGTAAATACTGGTTTTGTTGAACATCCTCGTACCTGCATCTGCAGCTGAGCCAGAGTGCTCTGTCGCTGCTGAGCTGAGACAGAAAGAGCTCCTGTGGGGGCGTCTGCTCTGGGACCTGCGGGTTGGGGGGCAGCGGGGGGCCTTCCCGGGCATCTTTCTACAACCAGCGACCCTGAAGGAACCAAGACCATTTAAAAAGTAACTGAATAACACCAACGGTGGTGCTCCAAGCTTGGAGGAAAAGCGCTAACCCAAAATCTATGTGGCAAGAAATTAGGATCTCAGTGTTTTCTAAGGTGAGGCGGCCATGTTGAATCAGAATGAGACCAAAATGTAAACAGTTGTTGACACACATCTAATGATCAGTATAAAATTTCTTCAAAATAAGTGCCAAGATAATTTGTCAACAATCACACAAACATAGATGGTAGACAGGTTTTTTTTTTCCTTCCCACTGTCGCCTACTGCTTACTCAGCAAACAGAAAGCTTTGAAATGCTAAGAGATTAAACTAAACAAGTGACATCACATCTGCAGAAATAGATAAGAAAAACAGAGGTTCAAACGCTTGAAAAAAGTTTTTGCTTTCAGAATAAATGAATGGCTTAGCTGTAAATTCTTAAAATAATACCTATAATCTATAAATACGTCATTAAGTTCAATGAAAAAAAAAAACATTAAAAAAGTAAACATTCAACAGGATTTTCATGTGGTGTGCTAGTATCAGCTAAATGTAACAAAGGTTTGGGTTTAAGCAAAACTCCTAAAATAATTAAAACAACAACAACAATAACAATAATAATACAGCAAAGATAAATATGTTCACAAGGAGATAGCGCAAGGGTCAGATGAGATTAAATAATAGTAAAAACAAAATGTACTGTTTGCTTGTTTTAAGAACACACTGATAATGACAAGTTAGATCCTAGAGTCTTGCTTTAATCTGAAACCTGAGAAGAGATCTTCTTTTATCTATTGCTGCAGGACTCAGCAGTAAAACATGACACTTCCTGACAAAAGGTGTGAAACCCAAAGTAAGGACAGATGTTTAACCGCGACCAGAGTAAAAACTAATCATGAAAAGACACACAAGAAGATTTCTTTGCAAAAAAACAATTGTAAATATTCTTACCAAGATCTACGTTCGTGGCCCAGAAACCAGAACGACACTGGAAGCGGACAGTGCTCTGAGAAATGATGGAGGGGTTGTAGCTGGTCCTCATCAGGTAATGGATCTGGTAAAGGATCTAGGAGGAAAAATTAATCTTTTGGTACCAAACCACAAACAAATTCACCAACTCTGTTGTACTTTTCCACAACACAGACATTATAATTGCCGTGAGTCATAATGAAATCACATACCAGCCTCTTGCAGTAAAGGAGAGCAGTTCCACTGTGGCTCTCCGTGGCCCATTTAGTGAAGTTGATTACGTGATCCAAATGCCGGGTCAGAGAGTTCACATCGTCCTGCTGCTTCTTCAAAGCCTGCTCGTGGTCATTAGTCAAAGCCTGGGAGGACAAAAGTTCACTAAATGTAACGACAAAATTCCCAAGTGTCCAGACAGCATTTGGCAAGTTTGGTAACAAACCTCAAGCTGGTTAATCAGGATCTTTCCCTTCCTGTTGATCTCCATGATCAGGTTGCAGATGGACTTCTTTATTTCATTTGTAACAGTCTTCCGGTTTTCTTCTACTTGCTGCAACCTAAGAAAAACCTTGTGTCGTAAATCTGATGCATGAGAAAAACCCAAAAAAACGGGAGAAAGACTTTACCCAGTGTTAACGCAGCTTGACACTTCCTCGATGCCCTTTCTTTTCTCCTGCAACTGCTGCGTCATGGCCTCCAGATACTGCTTATGATTCTTGTATGCATCTTCCAAAAACTGATAGCTAAAGACAAATACACATTGGTGTGAATTCAGAGTGATGTAATGAAACGTTATGTGGGACAGCATAGAATAATCGTAGAAAATGAGCAAAACTGATCTTCATACTTGTGATCTTTGTGCTTTAGGAGCTGACAGTCACGACAGGTAAGCCGGTCACACGTCTCACAGAAAAGCTTGAGAGGCTCCTGTTTGTGGACGTCACAAAACACGGGTCTCTGCGTGGATACGCCTAAAGCTTCTAACAGGCATAGAAAATGATAAACGTCAGGTAATTTCAGCTTTACAAACAGTCAAATCTTCCTCCGCTTTTGTTCAATTCTCAACTCAGCAAGCTGCTTCCATAAAAACCGGTTTTAACAACAAGGTTTAATGTCAGGTTTGAGGTCAAGAGGACCCAGGAGGGAAAATCGGAAAAAACAAATATACAAGCAAGACAGAACGTACGGGTTTTTTGTTTGAGTTGTTTCAGAAAGGATAACGGATTCACACCTGGAGACATCTCCTCCTTCTGCCGGATGGTGTGGTCTCTGGTGAACTTGACCCTCTGATGCGCCTCAATGCACGTCACACACAGGAACTCCACACACTCCATGCAAAAACCCGTTGCCTCAGTGTTGTCTTCACAGCTCATACAAACCTGTCAGAGACAAAAGCCGTTGTACAAAGCCAACAATCTTTCCTGCGAGCTGCTCAGGATGATGTGTAGGTAGCGACGACTAACCTGACTGGTTTTCTCCATGGTGCTGCTCGGCACCTCGGCAGAGTCTTTGACAAAAAAATTGTCCAATATGTCCACCTCCCAGCAGTCTTGTTTGCACACGGGACATCGGACAGATGCTGCTAAAGTAGCAGGAGCAATAAAGAGAAAATCAACTAAAAAGCATTTATGTGACACTTTACACTGGGCTGGGAGAAAAGTTTCTCTAATGCTGACATCTTGAAAGCAAACGTGTTATGTTTGATGTACTAACTCCATGCTCAGTTCCCTCAGTGACTTTAAAAATGTTATTTTATGATAAACAGAAAGGAAGTAAAGGTTTCTGTGTACTTCCTGATATAAGATTTTTTTTATTCTAATGAACAATTCATGATGTTCCTTTCAGACAAATACAGTTAGGTTATTTTCCACATCTGTTTCTGTATTTAAAAGTTTAGTATGCATTTTATATTAATGCACACTAAATCCAGTTCCTCATAGAACATAAATCAAACATTATGTGAACAGTAACGTGAAATTACACCATCTGCAGTCTTAAAATTACACAGATCTCTGCAAATAGAAGCGGAGTGTCGTTCATGTTTAATCAGCTACTTTGACCAAATTTGGGAGTTAAAGTCCGTGGAAAAAGAGCCTAACGCAATTTAGATCACACGCTTAGTCTAGGGGAGATGTGTGAGGACATTAAGGCAGGATGCAGGCTTCTAGTCAACATGATGATCAACATCAAAATGTTTACAATATTGCTAAAATCAAATAATGTTAGCTTTTGAGCATTTCCAGCATCTTATGGTAGTGAAAATGAATACAGAGTAAACATTCACGCTAAACTACTTTAATCCACAACCATGTCCCATAAAATTAAATGTTACTGTGCTGTAACCTGTTTGAGTAGCAATTTCAAAAGCTTTCAACAAAACGAAGACAGCAAAATAAACTTTAGCCTAAACATTTTTATGGATTTCAAGCACCCATATCATGATCACAAATTAGATTTAGTTGCTGTCACCTGGACCGTGTGTGTCCCGCCTCGGTTCGACACTCCTCGTAGAGGGCGGCAGACACTTCTTACAAAAGGAGTGGAGACACGGCAGCAGTTTGGGCTCTCTGTTGTGAAAGCTCAGTTTACAAACTGGACATGTGTCCATGAGCCCGAAGGCGCCTTGCATCTTCACTTTATCATCTCCTGCTGGCAAACTTTCAGCTTCATTTTCCACAATGATTACAATGTCGTTGTTCTGGACATTTTCGACAGTTTCATCCATTTTTGTAACCCCCCGTCGCTGCACGATCTTGCTAGACAATCAATAAAGCTAGCATGGCTAAATTTTGTCAACAATAAAAACGTTTCATTTATTTTACATGGAGGAAAATTACCACTACTGCGTAGAACAGCATTACTGATCAAGTCCGTTAATTTGTTATTCTAGAATGTTAAACGAAATAATTAAAACCCGTTCCGTGTGGAAAACTAAATTAGCATTGTAGCTAATTTTACCAGCACACGGGCAAAAATTAAATAAAAATAAAATCACATTCCTAGGCGTGTGGCGTATTTCTTAAAAATAGACTATACAAAAGAACAGGCATGTTCACAAGTAGTTAAAATAGACTAAATAAACCATATTTTCAAGCTCATTAGCCCAAAGGAGATACGCTAGCACACGATTCTCAAAACACCTATTACCCAGGTGGCATTGCGGTGTTTTACTGCTACAGTGCCCGAGTAAGGCCAAACTTCAGTGCCACTGCGAAAGAAAAATAGATCAAAGCAAGAAAATAAATATTAAAATTGTATTTTCACACAAAAAAATCTGACATACTAGTCCTAGTAGAAAAATAATCAACATGCTGTCTTCAAAAAAGAAAAAAAGATGGTGGGCTGTTTTTAAAAAAGCTCAAAGAAATGAACTCCACACAGTCATTATGAACTCCACACAGTCATTTGTCTGTTTTATTGTTTTACTTTCAGGTTCTGGGTGTGTGACTAAATAATAGAAAAAAAGATCAATGTTTTTGATACAAGGTGCAGTTTTTTGGGGTATTTTCTTTCTGAGCATTATCCGTAGTAAGTGTCACAAAGAGACTGCATCTCAAAATGCTAGTATGGATTGAGAATGTTAATAAACTAATTGTATAAGCTGCATTTTGTGGTTTAAAGAAAATTGGTTGTGTAGTGAAAAGATTTAACAATATAACCTATCTAACAAAATGCCTAATTTTGTAATGTTTACAAAATAACAACATATTTGTTTGAATATTAATGAAAAATAAAACCAATACAGGTTTCTTACACAATTGGAGTCTCTTCTTGGAATAACCTACTTACAACGTTTTCAGCAAAACGCTTCGTCATTGATTTGTTTTATTTTACTTTCCTCTTACTTGCACTAATATTCCTTGGCACCAAACTTAACATGAAGAATCATAACTTTAACAGATTCAACGCAAGTCCTTGTTTTGTAAGAAAGTCAGAGAATGCCAGGTGAAGACATATTTAAAAAAGTGTCAAAGAGATGTGTTTGCTCTTTTTGTAAGACCTTAGAATGGATTTTCAATTTAGAATTTCCTCTGTGCAAAAATTTGCCAGAACACATTTCAAAGTCAGAATTCAGACTTGGAATTTTTTTCTTAACCCTCTGGAGGCAGGCGTTGCAGATTTGTGTGTGTGTGTGTGTGTGTGTGTGTGTGTGTGTGTGTGTGTGTTTGAGAAAGAGCCTAATGAGGTCAGTTTGTCAGAGTCCACCAGTGCCTGAATAAACATTAAAAGATCTCATCTCACTGCCCGTCAGTTTAGTCAGACTTGTCTGTTATTGCTTTTGTTTGCCAGTGGTTGGAGATGAAAGATGGGAGAAATGTACCGTCGTCAGTGTCAGTAAAGAGAAAAGAGGGAAATATTAGATTAAGATTAAAAAAAATACGCGGGCAAAAATGTTTAGTTGTAAAGGAAATGGGAGAAAGTTGAAAATAAAGTGAAAAAGCAAAAAGATAAAAAGGTTAGAGGTCAGGATCACCTTAACATCAACAGTGTAAGACAGAAGCTACTGACTTTCAGGCTCCCAGAGGTCAGTAACACAGTCACCTCAAACCACACACACACACACACACACACTCGTGGGCGCAAATAAGTTTAACCCTTTGAAGGCAGGCGTTGCAGATTTGCAACGTTAAAACCTACCTACCTGGTTACTCCACATACGTATTTCTTGAGCATTTTTTAACTCAGAAGTACCCCTGAAGGACTTAGTTGTTCATCTTTTTATCAAAACTTATTTTGAGCCTGAGAGGGTTAAAAGACTTTTAGATCCAACATGAATACATCCTGGAGGGTAACTCTGAAGTGCCTTTTTTTCCTCCACCTGACCCAATCCTCATGTAAACCCTCTGATCTCTATTAAGGTAGCGCGACGTGTTGCGAATGGCCACAGTCACCAATTCTTGTCATGTGTCTATGCCTAAGTATGTATGTCTGATCTCAGAATTGTGTGTACTGAAACCCTAATTTCCCTCTGGGATTAATAAAGTATCTTTGAATTGAATTGAATTGAATTGAATCCAACAGAAAAAGTTTTCATCTCAATAAATCAGTTTGTAAAATACAACTGTTCATTAGTGAGCATGTTGCTATGATGTCTGGATGTGTAAATGTAGACAAATACCCTGTTACTGGCTTTTATGGGCTTCCACATAGCGCAGCGCCAGCTCTGCTACCCCTAGACATGGTAGGAAGTGTTCACATCCATATAGTCTGGATTTTTTCTGCTCCCCAAAAGCTGTTTATTCAGCCCTCTTCCCAAGGCGGTCTGCTTCGGGCTGAACTGAATTTGAGCCAGCAAGGACTACAAACGTGCTTCACGAAAGTGACGTCATCGAACCAGGGCTGTATGTTCAGCAAACTTCCCACAGGAGGAAAGAACCACCATAAATCTGGTCACTTGGTAAGTAGCAGCTATTTGGGGAGAGGAGATCAAGTGGTGATGTCACATATGCGACATGCCGATTTCTGGTGTGTAGTCATGCTAATTATGAACTTTTACAAGCAAAAAAAATCTCAAAGTATGTGACTGGCGTGGTCAAACACCCATCATTACTTTTCATTTAAATTGCATTACAACACATGTGCGATCCAGGGTGTAAGGCAAAGCAGATTAGAAAATTGCGTTTTTAGCCTCATTGACTTGCATTAATTTTTTCGTTCTTCCGGGAACCCATGATGCGGAAGTGACTTAGGCTCCCTATTGGCCCCTGTTGGAATCTGATTGGCCCCCTGAAGCACCCATCTTCTGTCACTCATCTGTCTTTTGTGCAAAAATCTGAATATATGTGGAAGTGATTCCAAATTCAAACACTGGTGATGCTGATGAGCCACATAGGAATTTCCAGCATGACATTTTGTATAGAAATGTTGGACTCAAACTTGACATTATAAATATAAATATTATGGCCGCTTGATAGCCCTGAACTCAGAAAATCCTAGATCCGCCACTGACTCCTGACTCAGCCCAATAATAGAGAAACCATGTTGGTTTTTCAAGTTCAGCTACAGCATAATGTAAAGTCATGAACTCATTCAAATGTCCAAGGCAAATGGAAGACAGCATTCAGTTAGTTTGGAGGGACTGATTATAAATTCTTGTGCAGAAATTTACTAAACAATAGAAGTGGAGGGATGTCTTTAACTTTAGAACCTGGTTCTTGTGCTCTGTAGCTTTGGTACTCTCTTCTGAGGCGTTAGTGTGTCATGTGACAGCGAGGCATAACACAACGTTGTTATATTTCCTAAAAGTTGTGTCAGACTGTGCTGTTTTATCACCCTGTGTGTGTGCAGGAGGCTGATCTCTCTGCCTGGGAGGAGTTATGTGCCTCTGATCAAAGAGCAAGACTAAAAACTCCCCATAGGTAATCTGTATGGCACACATTCAAACTTTGAGCAGAGCAACGGAGTGCATCGCAGATAATGGCGCTGACAGCCAAAGATCACTCTGTTCCTCTGGCTGATGGCAACAGCATTCCTTTAATAGGACTGGGAACTTATGGGAATCCTCGCATGGTAAGATCACACTAAATGACACAACATAACATTGTAAATAATGCAGCTAAAAGTGAAGTTTTGATCTGCCAGGCCAAGGAGGACACGCAAATTAAGTTATCAGAGTTTTATTTCTCAAACACTGATTAAAGTCACCAAGAAAGTAAGTCATATTATCACAGAGGACATGACAGATAGTGATGGCATGTATAGACAGCACCGTATGCTCAGGGAAATACACTCGCTCGTAAGTTTGGGTCTTGTTCTGATAAAGTAAAGATAACCTTGTTTATGGTTTTTGTACACCACTGTACACGGTCCACCTATGGACTAAGGAATGCAGTATGCATAGGTTGCAGGTGGCCTATAATGACGCTCTGTGTTTGATACCGAGGAAGCCTAGATGGACGTTTGTAAATGTGAGGGTGAGCACATTACAAGCTGTCTTAAGATATTTTATTCATAAATGTATTTGTAGGTTGAACAATTCTGAAAATGTGATTGCTCTGAATTTAACCAATACCTGTGTCCGTGCAATACGCTACCAGTCAAAGATGTGGAACACTGGTATACCAGTCTTTTCCTTTTTAGACTACAGTAAGTTACACTCTTTATTTTCACACTGCTGTTTTATGGTCTCGTTTTTGTTCTCGTGATTGTCCCTTACGCTTTAGTATGTCACATTTTATCCTATCTGTACAATGTCTTTTTACTTCGTGCGAACTGGACTAAGAGTCCAGACTAAAAACTTGACTTGACACTGTCTACTGGAGATATTTTACTCATAGAGATTATTTATTGCCAGACTCCAAAAGGAACTACGTATGAAGCTGTGAAACTAGCCATTGAAATCGGATACAGACACATTGATGGAGCTTTGGTTTACTTCAACGAACACGAGGTGGGACAAGCAATAAGGGAGAAGATAGCAGATGGAACGGTGAAGAGAGAGGACATTTTCTACTGTGGAAAGGTTTGCGGAGTTAACAGCTGAGATTTGTGTTTTTTCTTGGAGCAAACTTCACGGCCACAAAGATAACCGACTGCCACAGTTTTGCAACAATTAAAACCTCCCTGTTGTCTTGCAGCTGTGGAACACATTCCACCCTCCAGAGCTGGTCCGGCCCGCCCTGGAGAAAACTCTGGAGGCCTTACAACTGGATTATGTTGACCTATATATTATAGAAATGCCCACAGCTTTCAAGGTTAGACGTGTGGTTCTATTTCTAGTAGAATCAACAGAAATGTTGTGCATTGTAATTAATTCCCTTTTCATTTCTGAAGCCAGGAGATAATTTCTACCCACGAGATGAGATTGGAAAGTACATTTATCACGAGACGGACCTCTGCGCCACATGGGAGGTGAGAGATGGAGAGCTCCTTCACTTGTTTATTGAGAACATCAGATAAAAAAAACTGCATAAATTCTGCTGGAATGACAAACATGTAACACTTAACAATAAGGGTCCCTTCATTAGTGCATTATTAAGCATTAATTGACAAACAGTCCCTCTTTTAATGTTCCCAATATTGTTAACTATGAGTGTTCTTAAGACTATGAGCAGGGTGTGTGTGTGTGTGTTTGCTTAGTAATGCATTACTTAATATTAACATTAATATTAAGCATTTTGTTAAGACTTTATTTAATAGTTTATTAATGCTTGGCACTAAATAACTTTTAAAAAGGGACCCTTATTGTAAAGAGTTTCCAAAAAACACTACTGAAAAGTAAAATGTTTTCATTCATTTTTATGGTTTTTAAGTTAAAGTATCTATAAAGGTCTGAGCTCTGAGGTCAAGGTTAAGTCAAACTCTGTTATAAATATTTATGATTCTTTCGGACTCCAAAGTCTAATCTATTAGTTTTTGATTGTGTTTTTTTGAACAGGCTTTGGAGGCTTGTAAAGACGCTGGACTCGTAAAATCACTCGGCGTGTCCAACTTCAACAAACGCCAACTGGAGCTGATCTTTAACAAACCCGGGCTCAAACACAAACCAGTGTCCAACCAGGTTCCAATAAAACACTCACTAACAAAAGAATCGTAACATTTATAGTAAAACAGACTGATAGAAAAGACAAAAAAAAAACTATAAAAAAGGCACAATTGTTGCATTAATGTTAAAATTAAAGATCAAGAAATCTGTTTTCATCAACAAACACAATGTTTGTTTAATGTTTCAAACACAGGTGGAGTGCCATCCATATTTTACCCAACCAAAGCTGCTGGAATACTGTCGAGAGAAGAACATCGTCATCGTTGGGTACAGCCCCCTTGGGACATCCAGAGATCCATCGTGGTATGGATCGCTAACATTCTGAGTGGAATATGTCACAAATTCACTGTCCTCAATGAAATAAGGACCCTTTAATTATAAAAATAGCGTACAATTTTAGGATTTCCTTGGTAGGCGTATTTGAAAGCTGCTCAAAGATTTCACTAAATGTTGAATCCATGATTTTTTTTTTCAAACAAAAAATTAATTTCAAACATCCTATCATCTGTTGGATTAACTTCCACCAAATAACAAAACGACTAATTCTGGTTTTAAGGGCTGATGCTGATTCCTGATTTTTGTGCAGCTCTGACCTGAAAGAAACCAATTTAACAAAATTCTTTCAAAGAGCTGTAATTAATAAAGCAAAAGCTGAAAGTAAAAGTTCCCAAATGAAAAACCAGTCATTGTTAGTGAGAAATTGTGCTTCGCACTTGTGAGTTCACAAAATGTAAGAAATGTCAGGTTTTTGTTAAATATTGCTGGGCAATGTTGCATTTACTGACTGAAAAAAAAGTTTTTTTTTTTTTTAGATTGGTGGATTACTGATTAGGCCAGTAATGACCACTATTGGCCAACTCCAATCACCAGCCAAATGTTTGGTGTATCTCTAGCAAATACTTTCAGAGTTAAAATATTCTAAAATGTAAAGTATACTTTTTTTAGATTGCATATTTTCTTTTAAGTGAAAGATTTGGATTATAGTAAAGGTTTTGTGAATTTTGTAAAACAAAAATCATCAAAAAAGGCTAAAGAAGGCTGCTTTTCTTGCTCCTGACCACTACAAGTTAAGACTTTACCCAAAAAAATAAAAGCACATTTATTTTTATATTGTATCTGAATATCCAAGCCTAATTCAAACGGATAAAAACAATATGGGAGTCTTTCCTGTGCTCTGGAAGGTAAAATTTTTACAGACAAACCAGTTAACAGGATAGGGTCTCTTGGTTTATTATCTGTGCACAGTCCAAAGATCAGGAACCCTCTAATGCAGGGGTCATCAACGTTTGTGAAGCTGAGAGCTGCTTCATGAGTTTTGAGCCATACGAAAGATTAGGTTGATCTTTGAACTAGAATAGATTAGAGTTAAACTGAACCTTGTGTAAAATAAATATAATTTATTGTTTTTAAATAATGTTGTAGCATTTACATCAATATTAAAGCATTTGTGATTAAAAAGATGGCAGCAAAAATGTTTTTGTTACATTTAGACTCTTGCTATTTAGAGAAAAGGCCTGTGGACACCTCGGATAGTTCCTGGGGGCACCATGGAGCCCTTTCAAAGCCTATACGTTTTGTTTGCATTTGTCTAAATAAAGGTTTTCCAGGGAATTCATTGTTTATGTCAGAAAGACAAATCCCATAAAGTAAATGCCTTCAAAAGGTTTTGCCACAACTTGCACTGACCTGATTGTAAACAGTTTCTTTGTCTTAAACAGGGTTAACGTAAAAAGTCCTCCACTGTTGGAAGATGAACTACTGACATCGATTGCCAAAAAGTACAGAAAGACCACAGCACAGGTGTGCCTGAGGTTCAACATACAGAGAGGAGTAGTGGTCATCCCAAAAAGCTTCAACCCTGCTCGCATTACCGAGAACTTTGATGTACGTTTGATGTATTTCTAACCAAAATGTCCTCTAAAATGTACCTTGAAATATAAAATTGTGCAATGAGTTGCCACCAATTTGTCGAAACCGCAGATATTTGACTTCTCCCTGACGGAAGATGAGATGAAGGCAGTTGAGAACCTTAACAAGAACATTCGTTTTGTGGAGCTCCTCATGTGAGTTAAATCAACCTGCACCATGTTCTGTTTTTAATGAGCACATGATTAATATTTCTGTTTTCTTCACAGGTGGTCAGATCATCCAGAGTACCCATTTCATGATAAATACTGACATTTTAAATGTAGTTTGATAACTTAAGTTTGTGATCATTGATTTATACTTAAAATGACTACACTTGATTAATGTTAATTATTCAATGATTATAATGACATTTTAAGAAAAATATCAAATCGCTGTAATAAACACGTATAAAAAACATTGTTCAATTCATTGCCAAATGGTTTTGTCAGAGTTGTGGACATGGTGTGCCACTGACTATCTATGTAAATTACATAAAATAAATAAATAAACCTTGTAGAAAAGGGTTATTGATAGTACTGTAAAACACATTAAAAGATGTTGGACAAATGCGATCTACTGGGATTCAACCTGTGATATTTCTCTCTGGAATACATGTGTTTGTTTTAGCTAATTTAGTGGGATTTGCTTACAAAATCATTATTGAACATAAAATATTTAGTTATTAATAAACATTAATTTACTACAGTCATAGTAATAATAAGTCCCAATCTCCAATCATTATGCAAAAGTTTTCAGTTTTCCGAGCGTACGTGAAGGCACCGCAACAACTCTTCCTCCTCCTTGCTAATAGCACTCTGGCTACTGTTGCTACAATACATACAGACGACGTTAGATTACACTGGAAGTCAACGTCGGTTTAACTAAACAAAGATATGTTTTCTTTCTTTTTTATTTTACTTGATGTACTTTGACCTTGGCAGACTAGTTTGCATGAACGACATTTTTCAATAAAAGCTAACGCTCGAGTTTAGCTGCGCAACGGGTTTAGCCCATTTAATTAGCTTTGTGCTAGCGTTCAAATTCCCGAAGACCCACTGTGAATGGAAGCCGACCTACGGAGTGAACACGTCAACTTGAGGGGTACTATACAGGAAACAAAGGCTGGAGTTTATTTGAGGAAGCGTCTCGAACCCAAGAACATCAAGCTAACCATTGCTAACTTTGTTGGAACGAAGGAATCTTTGTATAAAATGACCCACGCACAGAAACGAAATAGCGTAACATAACGCAGCATCGCCGTCTGTTTGGAGGTTTGTTTTGATTTTCAGAAACTAGATTCTACATTTCGTCGTCACCTCAAACAACATTGCAAGCTGACACTTGAAGGAAGGAATGGTGACATTATCGGACTGACCCTGCCCTCCGTCCCAGGTAGGGGAGTAGTGAACACTCCCCGGCCTGGTGATGGGGAAACATCCGTTCCAGCTTCCTTCTTTTGTGTTTTAAATCCTCTTCCAGGTGACAAAATGAACCACTGCCTGACGTGATATCTCTGGACAATTGTACGATCATCATGGAACCAGATGAAGTTATTCAACCAGACAGTCGTTGCTAAAATCATGGACGTTTGATTTTTGGGTGTGTGTGTGTGTTTTTAAAGACCGTTTTACCACACGCTCTCCGACATGTCTGCATACGCCGAGTTCGTGCCTCCTCCTGAATGCCCGGTGTTCGAGCCGAGTTGGGAGGACTTTTCGGATCCTTTAGGGTTTATTAACAAAATCAGACCCATCGCGGAGAAAAATGGCATCTGCAAGATAAGGCCTCCACAGGTACACTTTATACATTTGGAGAGAGAGCTTTTGTGTTTATGTGGGTTTAATCACGACCTTACGTAAATTACGTAGCCGAGGTTCTCCATGGGTCCGAGGAGTTGGTCCGATAAAGATGAAATGGGGCTTAAATTTTCTGCTGAATGCATATCTGCAAGCGTAGCGTTTATTTCTGTTTGCATTTGTGTTGTAAAAAGTTATAATAGTGGCAAAGTAGTCTGATTATTTAATGTGACATTGGTCTAAATGCGGGCCTGAAGGTCATTGGACACCATACATAGTGACATCTGGCCCTGGGTTTTATTTTTAAAGACAGCAGCACAGTTTGAAATTATTTTTATTTTTATAAGATTCTTTAACATTTTTATATAGTTTCTGCTGTTTAGGTTTAGGTTATTACTAGGACTACAGAGTGTTACGACATAGGTATTTAATTAAACTGTGCCTATATATTGTCTGTATAGCGATTTCTTCATTGTCTTCTAGGAAAATCTTTAAACTTCCTTTTTGTTTTTCAGGACTGGCAGCCTCCATTCGCCTGCGAAGTTAGAAACTTTCGCTTCACTCCAAGAGTGCAAAGACTAAATGAACTTGAGGTTAGTTTAGCTAAACATTCCTTATGGTTGTTCATCAAAATAAGACCATTGTGATGCCAACTAGACTAGTTTTTTATCCTCATATGAATGTGTTTCCTCCAGAAATATATACTTCCATTATCAATAGTCTTTTCTTTGAAAGCACATATGGCTGAAGGTTTCTATTTTTATAAAGCCTAAAATATTCAGAGTTCATATTTTAAGAAGAATATAAGCAGCAGGAAGCAGAACTGTGCTGATTAGTGGTGATCAAAACTGGAAAACAAAATTAGGAGATTAATATAACTGTTATCCTACTTGATTCGATGTAACCTGCAATAAAATATTCAACTGTTTAGGATAAAAAAATACATCATAGAAATACTTTTGCCACATTCAGAAATTAACTTAAAATCCACCTGTAGGCAACAAATTTAACTTAAATCATCTGCTTGATTAAGCTGTTGCAGGAACAAAATGATAAAAGACCCACACTTGTATAGCGCCTCAGAGTAAGGACTCCAAAGCGCTTTACACTACAGTGTATAAAACAAACAGTGCTGCTGTAAAAGTGAATAAAAAAGACGAGTTGCGGCAGTAATGCATTTTTGTTGTGACCTCTTGATGCATCAGTCCCTACCGGGAGCAGGTCAGATGCATAGAGACTGCATCGTGATCTGCATAGCCGTATTTGTGAGATCATGTTTGATGTTGGTTCATGCATTCTCCTTTTTGGTGTTGTCTTTGTTAAAGGGACCTTTCAGACTTTTGAAATTTTATGCTCGTGATTGCTCCCTCAGGCCAAAAGCGTAACGGCAGCTTCAATAGTAGGCTAGTGCACGAGGGCGCATGCTGTACGTGCACACTCCTTAACAAAAATAACAGCTGAGACAGTCCTGTGTGTGTGTGTGTGTGTGTGTGTGTGTGTGTGTGTGTGTGTGTGTGTGTGTGTGTGTGTGTGTGTGTGTGTGTGTGTGTGTGTGTGGCCCGGAGGACAGAGGACAGGGGAACGCACAGCTAATTAATTAAATAATTTGGTTCTGTACCTTTCTCTTCAGCACAGCCAACAAAGGTTTATGATGGGTCAGTCCTCCTGCATGCTCAGATCATTCCCTTCCCTTGCTTGAAAAATTGTTCCAAAATAAAAGTTGAACCCACATCTTTTTTATCTGTGAATTCAATGCTGTTTGGCGAGTCTCAAATAAAGATTTGGGCATCTTACTGTAAAAAAATATACCATTAATGTAAAAATGAAACTCCAAATAAACTATGTTCACACCCAGAATCGAACCCAGGTCTTTAGCATGAGAGTCAGACATCTTATTAGGTGAGCTAAAGCACCAGTAACATTAGATGTATCTGTAACTTTTATATCCTTGATGACAACGTCAATCCAAAGAACAGTTCGGAGCGAAAATGGCTATTTTGTTGCTAATTTGCGGGACATATCTAGAAGAAAGTAGGTAAGGGTCCTCAGAAATGTAGCTTGGTTTGTCACTAGGCGTTAGGAACAGCGACAAAGTCGCTGAGTTGGCACTACCTCACTCTCTGCTGCTAAAGCTACTGATAGCAAATGCTACTGGCTATGCCTGAGCGTGAACGCGCATGAAGCAGCCTGCTCGACCCGAGCAACTCTCTTTTTCTGTGATTTTACAGAAAAACAGGCAATCACAGTAAAATGCCAGGGCTCATTCCACAGGACCAGGTCATTGCAGGAGAATGTATGAAGAAGAAATTTATTATTTCTATACATGTTTTGACTGTCAAACTTCCTTATAGTCCCTTTAAACAGAAGTGTAATGTCATATATTATGTTGTGAATCTCCATTGCCAGGATAAAAGCCTGGTTATTGATGCTGAAAAACATGCAGATGCTCACCTCTAAAGATGCAAGGAGCAATAAGCCCTCTGGTCATCGTTAAAGCCGTTATATTTGCATCGTTAAGGAATCACAAATCTGCACCTGGCTTTTATTTTGAAGTGTAACCAGGGTGCTTTACACTGATGCCATGTGTGTTTTTCAGTTTGCTCTATGTTAACTGGGGAGAATGACATGTTCTGGAAGCGTGCCTCGTTAAAAATAGAACCCAAGCAAATTTTTAGTGGCGCGGCAACAAGCTTTTGGGATGCATCTGACGCAAGCCGTGACGCATTTAGTGTGAAGCAAACCATTGACTAAATCGCCTCGTATCAGCCGCGGTGGCCACAATGCTTTTGTAATACAAAGCTTACGTACCCGGTGTAAATTGGTGGTCAATGTTCAAGTCGGCGTTCATGAAATTATGATTTTTCTGGAGTGTTGATGCTTGAAAATAAAACCTTTTGGAGAAATTCTGGATGCTACAGCACAGAGCATGTTGGGGCAGTAACTGAAAATAATAGAATCATGTACGTGTGTTTTGCCCTTATTCTGCCCTCTTTACTTACCTGGGCTTTTTAAAATGGCATCACATGACACACAAGTTTAGCCTTCAGGAGGCATACAAGTGGGCTTCATCTGAAGGCTGCAAAGAGGATTGTTATGAAATCCGTTTCTGATTCTGATTTTGGAATTGGAGCCGAAACTGAAACTGGAATACAAATTCCATTAGCAGCTCAGTCCTGACACCAGTTTATGCTGAACAGTTATGTTGCTTATTATTAGTGTCTGTTTATGAAAAATGTTGGAAAATTTAGATGTGCTTTTAGAAAATTCTTGGATTTGTGTTTCCTTTAGTATCTGAGGAGAGATGAAGTGCGCCACGGAACCTCCTTTAAATCACTGACAGGAGAATTTGTTGAAACAAATCAAAATTTTCTACCTTTAATATTTCTTTTTCTTATATGCTCCTCAAGTTCTGAGCAGCAATAAATGTTTAAATGAACTTTAGTGTTTTTGTATTTGGATTTAATTACAGATAATAGCTATTATTGCTTCAGGTGCTCAATAAGTGTAACAGAGCGTTTTATTCCTGTTCTTACAATCTGCTCTCTTTTGTCTCTGTTTTTTTTTTTTTTTTTTTTCAGGCCCTAACTCGGGTTAAACTAAACTTTCTGGATCAAATAGCAAAGTTCTGGGAGCTGCAGGGATCAAAGATTCGATTTCCTCACGTGGAGAGAAAGGTTCTGGACCTCTATCAGCTCAGCAAGGTAAAAACGGATCTACCTTTTTAATGCCTGTGGCACTGTCCGTGTTTCCTCTGCTAACTTTCTTATCTCTGACTCGTTCAGATTGTGTCATCCGAAGGTGGCTTTGAGACTATCTGCAAAGAGAAGAGATGGTCCAAAGTGTCGAGTCGAATGGGTTTCCCACCGGGAAAAGGCACTGGTTCCCTGCTGCGTTCCCACTATGAGAGAATCCTTTACCCTTACGAGCTCTTCCAGTCTGGAGCTACGCTCACCGTGAGTGGAGATCCTCCTCAGTTTATTCAGTCCTGATTTAGTTTATTCAGATCAGTTTCATTGAAACAGTAACGAAAACTAAAGAAGTTTTTGATTCTACTAATCGTTTTAATCAGGGACTCCAACGGCTGTATGACGAGGCAACGGACGGGGAAGACGTAGATGAGGGGGTTGGCGAGGAAACAATGGAGGAAGACGAGGATCAAGAAGAGGAGGACGAGAAGGACAAGGAGAAAGACGTGGAGGGCGAAGTGACACAAACCAAGGGGCAGCTTCTTCCCGAGAGGCGCTCCAGACGTCTCAAGTCAGAGGTGAAAGCAGCTGTTGGCGTCACTCACATGCTAACGGAACTTAGAAAGTCACATTTTTGTTATTTTTCTGCTACAGCAGCTAGACAAACTACAAAAAAGGCCTGTATAAATCCTAACTGTTGTTTACTGTCTGCTCTTGTGTCTCATTGGACTCCTTTAGAGGGAGAACAAGGACCCTAAAGGTCTCAAAATCTTTGAAACAAGTCCCAGGATGGTCGATTTAGAGATCGTGTCTGCTGGTAAGCTTCAAACTGATAAACTTTTACATAGTAAATATTAGAAAAGCAGATTAATTACGTTTCTTCCCCTATCTAGACGACGGGTTTATTAAGAAGCAGCGTCACCTCAAAGCTCAAGCCTTTGCCATCAAAATGAGACCACGTAAGGAGACCCTGGAGGTCAACTTCGTGAGTCAGATTTGTTTGAGTTTGGCATCAGAGGCTCAGAAGTCACCCCTAGGGGTTAAACTTTTTGCATCTTCTGTCCCTCAGATTGACCTTTACCTCTGCCTGGTGTGTGGACGCGGAGACGAGGAGGACCGCCTCCTGCTGTGTGACGGCTGTGATGACAGCTACCACACCTTCTGCCTCATCCCCCCTCTGCAGGATGTGCCCAAGGGGGACTGGCGTTGCCCCAAGTGTGTTGCTGAGGTAAGGACTGAAAGATGTCTGACAGTCACGACTGATCAAATTTTTTAGTTTTTTTTTTTATTTTCCTTTTGTTGAAATTCTGTTAATCAGAATCTTCTTTCTGCGTCGTCTTTTTCTACAGGAGTGCAGCAAACCCAGAGAGGCGTTTGGCTTTGAGCAGGCGGTCAGAGAGTACACGCTGCAGAGCTTCGGAGAAATGGCCGACAACTTTAAATCAGACTATTTTAATATGCCGGTTCACGTATGTCGAAGGAGCTCGTGAAGAGGATTGAATGTGATTTAAGAGCTGGGATGGGTTTAACCAGGTCCACCTTTTATGTTTAGATGGTCCCTACAGAGCTGGTGGAGAAGGAGTTCTGGCGTCTGGTCAGCAGCATCGAGGAGGACGTAATCGTAGAGTACGGAGCTGACATCAGCTCCAAGGAGGTGGGAAGTGGGTTTCCTGTGAAAGATGGCAAGAGGAGGCTTCTGGGAGATGAGGAGGTGAGTGCCTCTGAGGCACTTTTGCCTTTTTTGCTGAGTTGTTTAGTTGATTTTTATGTAAATGACCTTCATGTGATTTTCAGAATTAGTAAAACAAAAACTTTGAAACATTATCAATGATGACACGATTCCCTTCAGGAATACGCCAACTCTGGCTGGAACTTGAACAACATGCCGGTTCTGGAGCAGTCGGTTCTCGCTCACATTAATGTGGACATATCCGGCATGAAGGTTCCCTGGCTCTATGTTGGGATGTGCTTCTCCTCCTTCTGCTGGCACATCGAGGACCACTGGAGTTACTCCATTAACTTCCTGCACTGGTGAGAAGGCACAACTGGAAGAGCTGATAGGTCCTGCAAAATCATTTTGACAAAAAAAAAATATTATGATGCAAATCTTTGCTTCTGCTGTTTTTTAGGGGAGAACCCAAGACTTGGTATGGAGTACCGGCCTCTGCAGCAGAGAAACTGGAGGCTGTGATGAAAAAATTGGCCCCAGAGCTGTTCGACTCTCAACCCGACCTCCTTCACCAGCTGGTCACCATCATGAATCCAAACGTCCTCATGGAGCACGGTGTTCCTGTAGGGTGGATGTTTGATCTGAGGACGTGTCTGTATGGTCTCTGTTGTTCCCCGGCCTTATCTTTGTGACTGCGTCTCAGGTTTACAGGACTAACCAGTGTGCCGGGGAGTTTGTGGTGACCTTCCCCAGAGCCTATCACAGCGGCTTCAACCAGGGCTACAACTTTGCAGAAGCTGTTAATTTCTGCACAGCTGACTGGGTGAGGAGAGTCCTCCTAGCACATTCCATTTAACACCGCTCTTGTTTCCTTCACGGCGGAGTTAGTCACGCTTTCACATGCTCTCCCAGTTACCTTTGGGGCGCCAGTGCGTTGCTCACTACCGACGGCTCCACCGCTACTGCGTCTTCTCCCACGAAGAACTGTTGTGCAAGATGGCGGCTGATCCCGAGAGCCTCGACGTGGAACTGGCTGCGTCCATTTTCAAGGAGATGGGAGAGATGATAGAGGAGGAGACGAAGCTCAGGCAGGCTGTCCAAGAAATGGTGAACATGTCAAAAGTGTTGGACTGCACCGTGACTGAGCTGAAATTCAAACCTAACCGTTAAAAATCATCTTTTGTTTCCTGGATGTAGGGGGTGCTGTCATCAGAACAGGAGGTCTTTGAGCTCGTTCCAGACGATGAGCGTCAGTGTCACAAGTGTAAGACCACCTGCTTCCTTTCGGCGTTGACCTGTCCCTGTTGTCCGGACCGGCTGGTTTGCCTCCATCATGCCAAGGATCTCTGCGACTGTCCTCTTGGCAACAAGTGTCTTCGGTAGGAATTTTCATGAATAAAAAACCTGTTTCTTTTGTGGGCTAAATTTAGAAGTCGGGATCCTAACTTGGTGTTCCATTTCTTCCGTTAACCACCTTCAGCTTCGTTTTTATGTCTCAGATATCGTTATGATCTGGAGGAGTTTCCATCCATGTTGTATGGCGTTAAGACCCGGGCTCAGTCCTACGACACCTGGGCCAAGAGGGTCTCTGAAGCTTTGGTAGCGGATCAGAAGAACAAAAAAGGTCCATGCATGTTTTTCTCCACAGTCTTAAACCTTATTATAACCTGAAAATGCACATAAAACATGTTCCTTTTTCAATCTGATCAGAACTTTTATCTATTAGCTCCAAAACTGAAACAGAAATCTAATCTCGAACGTATCCCTTTGAATTTTTATCTCCTTGTTTGTCTTATAGATTTGATTGAACTCAAGGTTTTGCTGGAGGACGCAGAAGACAGGAAATACCCTGAGAACTCGTTGTTCCGTCGCTTGAGGGAGATGGTGAAAGAAGCGGAGACGTGTTCCTCAGTGGCTCAGTTGTTGCTCAGCCGTAAGCAGAGGCACAGGTCTGTACACCTTCACACCACAGGCCAGCAGTGGAGCTCCCATTGTCAGGTCCAGAGAAGAGCTGACGGTGTCGTCTGTTTTTGCAGCAGCCGCCTTCGTTCTGAAAGCAGCCGTAATCGCACCAAACTGACCGTAGATGAGCTGAAAGCCTTTGTGGGCCAGCTCTACAGGCTGCCATGTATCATCAGCCAGGCGCGACAAGTCAAAGTCAGTCCTGTCTGTTATTGTTATACGATGCCCACATACAGCATGTTTCCTCCTGCTTCACTCCTCTGATGACATCTGACCTCTTTTCTTTAACTCCCCATGTGTTTTTAGGAGTTACTGGAGACTGTGGAGGACTTCCACGAGCGAGCCCAGGTGGCTTTATCAGACGAGACGCCCGATTCCGCCAAGCTGCAGGAGCTTTTGGATCTGGGAAGCGGCCTGGACGTAGAGCTGCCCGAGCTGCCTAGACTCAAACAGGAGCTGCAACAGGCCAGGTGGCTTGATGAGGTGAGCTGTTAAAGTGGGAGCCAAGGCCTGGGTGGAGACGTATTTCATCCACACTTCCTGTTAACAAAACACTTCTAAAAGAGCCTGATGAACCGAGAGAGCAGCACTGAGGCAATGACAGATGGCAACCCCCCAGCGTGCGCTGTTTCTCTGTTGAAAAACAAGTCCACGAGCACACATGGAAGCAAGCATACACTCACAGCAGACTTACCTCTCAGGAGAAGAGCAGACACAGATTCTGCAGCATTCTGGAGGATTTTATGTCCACTGAGATCATTAGACGAAAAGGGGAGGAGGGCTTTTTTTTTTTTTTAAAGGAGGCAAGCAGCTCAGAGCTCCAACATGTCATATCGGCAGGTGAGTAGTTGAGCCGGATGGAGGTGCGGCTGCCTCACCTGGAGACCAGTGCATTGCAGCCTTGTAGTAATTTGCTGACAATGTCACGTTTTTCAGCTTAGCCGTCAGCCACAGCTGATTCTAAATAAATGTGGAGATGAGTTTTTAACCTGAAGATGGTGATAGAATTACGGTTTGGGGCTGAAATAAGTTTAACGTAAGTTGCACTAAACTGCCACACTAATGGTTACACATGTCTACAGCACTATTAGACACTCATCTATCTTTATCAGCAAAAAGGTTAATTTAGGTGTTACTCACTCTTTAACCAATCCCAGCCAAGACTTTAGTAAACCTGTCCCTTAGCAGGGATTTGTTAGGATTGTAGAGGCTTAACACGTCTGATTATTCAAAGAATTGCAACGTTGTTGTGCTTTGAGACTTTATTTCTTTCCATAAGATGGCAAGAAAAAAAAACAATTTAATCAGGGACTCCAACTAATAATAATAATAATAATAATAATAATACATTTTATTTAAAAGTGCCTTTCAGGACACCCAAGGTCACTTGACAGAAAATACTTAATAAAATACAATAAAACAATAATAAAACCCAAACAAGGAAAAAAAAACTGAGAGAAACAGTTCAGTAAAATCAGAGGTTGTAGGCAGATTTAAACATATGTGTTTTGAGTTTAGTTTTGAAAAGGGTAAAACTGTCGATGTTCCTGATGTCTGGGGGAAGTGAGTTCCAGAGACGAGGAGCAGAGTGGCTGAAAGCTCTGCTCCCCATGGTAGCGAGACGGGCAGAAGGAACCGCAAGATGGATGGAAGAAGAAGATCTGAGTGAACGGGATGGGGTGTGAATACTTATAAGGTCTGAGATATATGGAGAAGAGAGGTTGTGGATTGCTTTGAAGGTATGGAGGGGAATTTTGGAGATGGACCTGAATTTAACTGGGAGCCAGTGAAGTTGTTGGAGAACCGGGGTGATGTGGTGAAAGGAAGGGTTTCTGGTGATAATACGGGCTGCTGAATTCTGGACCAGTTGCAGTTTATGAAGGAGTTTGTTGGGGAGACCATAAAGAAGTGAATTGCAATAGTCGAGACGGGAGGTGACGAGGCTGTGGACGAGAATGGCGGCAGTGTGAGGGGTCAGTGAGGGGCGAAGACGGTTTATGGAACGTAGATGGAAGTATGCTGACCGAATTATGTTATTAATGTGAGCTCTAACCCTGTCCTTATTCGTGCACACCGAAAATTCCTTAAATGGCCTGGAAAATGGCCCGGTGGAATGGACGCGCATGCCGGGAAATGCTGGTAAATTTACCCTGAAGTTCCGCTCGTGGAAACACGCCTAAAGTTTCAAATGCTCTGGAGCCTCAAAGAACAAACTATTATATAGGGTTAAATGCATAGAGATGACCTTGTAAATATGAAGAAGAACAAAGAAAAAAAAAGCTGTAAACGTGATAGTGTGAAGAGGTTTTTAAACTAATAGTGGATGAGTTAATTTGCATATTGGAAACCTTTGAGAATTGGAAAATAGTTTTACATCATCAAGAGTCTCTGTTTTTACACACCGTGTCTCCTCGAGCAGCAACTGTCAGTGATGCTGGTTACAAATCCTTATGGTGACTCATGATGCAGTCTCCTGTGCACATTCAAAGTAAATCACTTAATTATTTTAAATATTTTACTCCCTAAAATACTCAGCTCTGAAATGGAAATCCAGAAAGTAAAATTTAAAGCCTGAATGTAAAACGACTAGAGCTCTTTTTCCATCTTCATCAAACTTCAGGTCCGTGTCACCCTTTCTGAACCACACTGTGTCACTCTGGAGCTGATGAAGAGGCTGATCGACTGGGGGGTGGGACTGGCTCCACATCATGCTGTGGAGAAGGCGATGGCAGAGCTACAAGAGGTCCTCACTGTCTCAGAGAGGTGGGAGGACAAGGCACGTGCCTGTCTAGGTGCCAGGTGAGGCGGATTCAAAGATGCACCAAAAAAAAAAAATCCTGCACTTGAAATCTCTCTGAGTTGTAATCATCTTTTGCCTCAGACCTCGACACAGCATGGTGACCCTGGAGAGCATCGTGCTGGAGGCCAGAAACATCCCAGCATATCTGCCCAATATTCTGGCTCTAGAAGACGCCCTCCACAAAGCAAAGGAGTGGAGCGCTAAGGTGGAGGCCATCCATAACGGAAGCAGCTACGCTTATCTGGAGCAGCTGGAAAGCCTCCTGGCCAGAGGTCGCTCCATCCCCGTTCGACTTGATCCACTGGCCCTGGTGGAGACCCAGGTGGCTTCAGCTCGGGCCTGGAGGGAGAGGACCGCTCGCACATTCCTGAAGAAGAACTCTACGTACACGCTGCTCCAGGTTAGAACACATCTGGTTCATTACTTGCGTCTGAAAACATCATAGACCTGAGTACAGCCTCTCTTTCCCAGGTTCTCAGCCCACGTATGGATATCGGCGTTTACAGCAACAGCAAGAGCAAGCGGAGGCGGGTCAAGGAGCTTATGGAGAAGGAGAGAGGTGGCTTTGACCCCCACACTTTGAGCGACCTGGAGGAGAGCCTTGAGGAGGTCCGAGACCCTTCAACTGTTGTAGCTGCTTTCAAAGCCAAAGAGCAAAAGGAAGTGAACGCCATTCACTCGCTCCGTGCTGCTAATTTAGCCAAAATGGCCATGGCGGACCGCATTGAGGAGGTCAAGTTCTGTCTGTGTCGAAAGACAGCCAGTGGCTTCATGCTGCAGTGTGAGCTTTGTAAGGACTGGTTCCACGGCGCCTGCGTCCCTTTACCTAAAACAGGAACTCAAAAGAAAGTGGGCGTGGCCTGGCAGAGCAACAGCAAAGACTCCAAATTCTTGTGTCCGCTGTGTCAGAGGTCGAGGAGACCGAGGCTGGAGACCATTCTGTCCCTGCTGGTTTCCTTACAAAAGCTGCCGGTGCGTCTGCCAGAAGGAGAAGCTCTGCAGTGTTTAACAGAGAGAGCAATGAGCTGGCAGGTATGTTCCTTTAATTATTCAGTTCCTTCTGCGTCCAGTTTCCCTTTAATAATCTACATGGGTGTCACCGTCCTACCAGGACCGAGCGCGTCAAGCTCTGGCTACCGAGGAGCTGTCCTCCGCTCTGGCCAAGCTGTCTGTGCTGAGTCAGCGTATGGTGGAGCAGGCGGCGAGGGAGAAGACGGAGAAGATCATCAACGCCGAGCTGCAGAAAGCTGCTGCCAATCCAGACCTGCAGGTAGCCCCGTTCCTCAAGAGTGTTGTCTCTGTTTTTTAAAAGCACCACGATGCTTTTAAAAAACAGAGACAATTAGAAAAGAAAAATAATTTTTTCCAATAATTTTTCTTTTCTAATTCAGTTTATTAATAAAATGAGTTTTTAAGAGTCAAAAAATATTTATTTTCCATCTAAAAAGTTCTATTAAACAAATTCTTGAATGTTGATACATTGGGGAAAAAAAATAAAAGTAAAACATTTTTTTAACCAGGTTAATCATTTAAATCGTTTGTCACAAACTTCACCTAAATAGTTTAGATGAAAGACCAGAAACTACTTCCTGGTCTAAGATAATAACGCCCATGTGTGGACTTACGTTTGAATTGCATATTTATCACATTAATTTTTCAGATAACTTTTGTTTTATAACTGAGTCCCAAGGTGATTCTGAAGGCTATTCTGCCTGTTTGGTTTATTTCATCTCCAACAGAGTGAACTGATTTATTTGTAGGGATGCTTCATCTAAACAGCTGTAGCTTTAATATTTTAGTTTACATGTTGTTGTAAAAATCCAGCTACAACATTTTTATTTTGCTCCCGTCTGTTTTCTGCCATGGCAGCATCAGGGAGCCTTCGGTCGTTTATAAGCCGTCAGACCATGGCGGTAATGTGACGCAATCGTGTCCTTTTTACAAAAGATTAGGTGATGGCGGCATAAAGGGGGTAGGGGGGGCGGTCTATGTGCTGCCGCGGACTCCCGTGTATCTTGGACATAATTTGCTTTTTATTGCGATCAAAGTCATGCTCATTACGTTTTTTTAACAAGCCGCTCCTAAACAGGGTATCCACGGGTCCTTAAAAAGTCTTTAAAAGTCTTAAATTAGCTTTTCCAAATTTAAGGCCCTAAAAATCCTTAAAAATGACAAATAATCCTTAAATACAGTTTCCAAAGGTCTTAAATTACCAAAGACCCAATAAACAAAATTCTTTTATTTCTATTAAATTTTCGGAAATTTCTAGTTAGTGTTCAGCATTTTTTGTGTACGATGTTGGCGTAAGCGGAACCGTACACATTCAGTTGGTTGTGAAAGGGGGCTATGTTTAGATGAGCACATTAGCTGGTTAAGCTAGTGGGAGCTCGCGCCATGGGGAAGTGCAAGTTTAATGGTAACTGGGTGGCTAATCCCACGTTCGCGATGTGGTTAGCACCGGTTTCAGGCAATAGCTGGAAATTATAGTTTAAATTTAATTTAAAGAATAGCTTAAATGTGGTCAAAGTGGCCTTAAAAAGGTCTTAAAAAGTCTTAAATGTGGCTCCCTTAAACCTGCAGATACCCTGCTAAAGGTGTTTGTCCTCCACAGTCCCCGTGCGGTCTCTGGTTGAGCTCCAGCTCTAATGGAGAAAAGCTCCAGTAGCGCTGCATCGCTCCAGATTATCATCTCCGCTGATTCTGGTAACAAAAGTTAAACTTAAGGCCCGTGTTTACTTTCATTTTCAAAATGGTTGCCGGTCGGAGCTCAGGAGTAACTCCCCACGTGATCCTTACACCTCCCTCTGTTGCACCAAGGCACAATCACCGTTTATAGGACAGACGATTACTACAATATTACTACCAAGCGAGGCGGAACAAATGCCGCAAAATTTGTGCATCGCCATGCCAGCATGGCGCGTTTATAAGACACACCGTTAGGGTGATATTATGCTGATTTGCCGTCATGGTGATTCTTGTAAAAGGGGCTTATGTGGAGGTTAGAAAAAGGCTATTGCTAGCTCACTTTCTCAGTTTTATGCAACATTTTCTAGTCAATTATAAACTGAGAAAAAAATGTATTTAAAATGTTTTCTTCTATAAACGTTTAATGTTAAATGAGCTGCTGGAAGGCTTAAGCCTCCGCTCTTTAGCATCAGCCTTTCCATCTCTCTCTCACACACACACACACACACACACACACACACACAGAGTCTTATCAGAATTGAGAGCCTGTTATCTGTGTTCGTGTTCCTCAGGGCCACATCCAAACCTTTCAACAGTCCGGTTTCAGCAGAGCCACGTCGCCTCGCCAGTGCATGGACTACGACGACGAGGAAACGGACTCGGATGAGGACATCAGAGAGACCTACGGTTATGACATGAAGGTTTGTGAGGCAGCAGCAGGATTTTTTTAGCAGCCTCACATATTTTTTTCTCCCGTTTCTTACATTGCACATCTTTCTATCCAGGACCCAGGCGAGGTGAAGCCCTACCTGTTCTGTGACGAGGAGATTCCCGTCAAGTCCGAGGAGGTGGTCAGTCACATGTGGCCGGCAGCCACTCCTTCCTTCTGTGCCGAGCATGCCTACTCATCAGCGTCCAAGTCCTGTGTTCAAAGTGAGTTTATGTTTGCAGCTGCTGATCCCAAAAAATCCTAAAAACACATTTTTTGTTGATATAAAAACTCCCTTAGACAATCAAATTCCTGTTTCATTCTCGCACTTCCAAATATTTCCGTTTCAGACCTGGGCACTCCCAGAAAGCAGCCCCGGAAGACCCCTCTGGTCCCTCGGAGCCTGGAACCGCCAGTGCTCGAGCTGTCCCCACAAGCTAAGGCCCAGCTGGAGGACCTGATGATGCTGGGAGACCTGCTGGAGGTGTCTCTGGATGAGACCCAGCACATCTGGAGGATCCTGCAGGCCACGCAGCCTCCCTCTGAGGAGAGATTCTTACAAGTCTTAGAGGTAGGGAGGTCATTCGTTACGCAAACAGTTTTCAGTGGTTTGAAAATGACGGCTAGTCGAGCTGTGCTCCAGTCACATTTTTATCCATGAAGGAACTTGGCTTTTAAAACTAAATGAGCCGTCATTTGTATTTGACTTTCCACAGCCTGACAACTCTCTCATGGAGAAGCCTCTGAAGATCAAACTCAAGGATTCAGAGAAGAAAAGGAAACGGAAGCTGAAGCGAGCCGAGCACCACCACATGCTGATGGCCACTGCCGGCGGAGTCTCGGCCATGGGAGACATCCGACTGTCCAAGGCCAAAGAGCTGAAAAGAGCTGGTCTGGAACTCGGCCTCGGGGGCAAACCCAAGAAAAAGAAGCTCAAACTTGGCCTGGAGAAGAACCGGGAGATGAAACAGTTAGCTAAACGTTTAGCCAAGGAGGAGAAGGAGAGGAAGAGGAAGGAGAAAGCGGCTGCGAAGGTGGAGGCCATCAAGGAGGGGCTGGAGAAGAGGAAGGAGAAGAAGATCCTGGACATTCCCTCCAAGTACGACTGGTCAGGAGCCGAGGACTCCAACGACGAAAACGCAGTGTGTGCTGCCAAGAACTGCCAGAGGCCATGTAAAGACAAGGTCAGAACCTAAACCAGCCAACCTGAAATCCATCACATCATCCTAGATCCACAGGATCGTGGGTGATTGATGGAGACGGTTACAGATTAGCATGTGTTATTTACACAGATGTAAATATAAAAAAAACTACATTTAGACTTGTTATCATCACCCCTACCCCTATGAGGAGAAAACATTTAAAATGTGTTCTAAAATAATATTTAAGTTGGAAATGACTTCATTTTACTAAATCTGATCACATAAGCTCCATAATAGGGGGGCGACAGTGGCAAGTCTTAGAGGTAGGGAGGTCATTCGTTACGCCAGAGAGACCTACGGTTATGACATGAAGTGGCGACGGTGGCACAGGAGTTAAGAGCTCGCCCCGTAAGCGAGTTGCAGGTTCGAGCCCCGCTCAGTCTGTCGCTGTCGTTGTGTTCTTGGGCAAGACACTTAACCCACATTGCCTACTGGTGGTGGTCGAAGAGGGACCGGTGGTCCCTTTGCTCGGCAGCCTCGCCTCTGTCAGTGCGCCCCAGGGCAGCTGTAGCTACATTGTAGCTCATTACCACCAGTGTGTGAATGTGTGTGTGAATGGGTGAATGACTGATTGTGTTGTAAAGTGCCTTGGGGAGTTCCAGGACTCTAGAAGGCGCTATATCAAATACAGGCCATTTACCATTTACCATAATAAGCCTCCTCAGTCGAGATGGATCTCATATGTGACGTTCTGAGCCTGTTTACATGAGTAAAGAGAATTACACACGACATTTTAACAGGTCACACTAATGCAGTCCTTTCCAGTCACTGCGCTTCCGATGGCCGCCTGTGAGTCAGGTGGGCAGCCAATCAGAACGGAGGAACGTGTTTGTTTCTCTGTAGCATTGCAGCAAAAAAAAAGAAAACATGATTACTAACATTCATATTCCATGTGATTCTTTACACGCCACATTTTCTTAATTGTCTCTTGTTTCCAGGTGGACTGGGTGCAGTGTGACGGGGGCTGTGACGAGTGGTTCCACCAGGTGTGTGTGGGGGTTTCCTGCGAAATGGCGGAAAATGAGGACTATATTTGCGTGGACTGCTCTGAGAAGGCGGGCAGCGTGGGCGGAGGGATTACAGTGGAGGAGGTGGCGGAGGAGAGCGTCGTGGTGCTGTCCACGTGCGGTGGAGTGCAGAGCTTATCCTCGGCATCTCTGCCCATGTCCTCGTGGTCCTCTTTGACCCACATAACCCCAGCTGCTCCAGGTCTACAGCAAGAACCAGGGCTGGGCAGCTAGCGCCAAACACCGGCCAAGAAATCAGCACCTTACACACAAAAACCAGAGACCAGCTCAGTGTTGCTTTGATTTAAAAGCACAAAGGGACTTGTGTGTGACATCACAAATGAGTGCAGAGTTAGCTCTCCAATAAACGTTGTAGATGAAGAAACATCCGACCGCTCCTCTCTGAAGGCTCTGATGTACAAACACCAGGACGTCCTGTACCACTGCCCTCTGCCTGGCCCCTCAGACAGGAACAAGTAGGACTCAAGACTAGGAAACCAAGTGGTGGTGATGTAGAGTTATTTATAATGTATATAGCTTTTAACAATTAAATGGATTGTGGCTTTTTTGTTTTCTCACCTTTAATAAACAAATCCTAGTCAAACAGTTGACGTGTTTTTTGTCCTTTTTTCCTCAAAAATGTCACTTTGTGTTAAAGGCGATGTTGAAAAATTAAAAAAGAAAACTATCTTTTATTTTAGCACTTCTCAAGATAAAAACCACGAGACGCTTCACAAAAAACCTTTAAAATATGTAGAAGATTTATTTAAATTATTAAAATGTTTAAATTAGAAAAATAAAAATTTGTGATTAGAACATGTACAAGTTAAGGGTAGCTTATGTAGTAAAGTGTTTTAGCAGAGACTTGTTTTTACATAGTTTTACCCACACGGTGGCTTCAGAGGTTTTCTACAGACACACCTGATTGCAGGGTTGTGGGAAGAGATTGTGCTGCTGTCCAGCACCAACTCATCCCAGCTGAATCCGGTGGGAACTGACCACTCCTGCTTCAGTGGCTCATCTGTGTCACAGACAGGAAGAGACAACAGGAGTGGTTTGACACATCCAATAAGACTTGTTCTTTTTACCAAATATACAGCTTTTTTCAGTAACGGTAAGCTCTTTTAACTATTCAGCATTTAATTTTAATGTATTATTTCCCTGATCTTTGGGTTTCCTTCAGTTAAATCTGACACTCAGAGGTCAGATAACACCATCTCTGACTCTTATGTGACACCTTATTTTCACCGTAGAGACATGGTGGGTGATGTACTTTCTTCAGATGATGGGGTAGGGTTGTGTGGGGGTGGGATCTGGGCTGGGTGTAGCATTACAAGGCTCCGCCCCCTTTGCCAGCCTTGTGAGATACTAAAACTTCAGGATGAATCTCCACATTCAGCTTCAGTCTTGAGGCACACAGAGGTGGCTGTGCAATGAAAGGTATGCTGATTTTTTTAAATATTTTTTGCTACACACACACAAAAAAAAATCCCCAAACTGCAACTAGAATCTGTTCTGCAGGAGCAAAAGCAGGCATCTCCAATGGCAACAACCGTGTCAAAGACATGCTGCCGCTGTCAGAGGAGAAGATGGAGGAGCGAGGCCAGTGGAGCAACAAGCTGGAGTTCATCCTGTCAGTGGCCGGCTCCATCATCGGCCTGGGCAACATGTGGCGCTTCCCTTACCTCTGCTACAAGAATGGAGGCGGTAGGAGGGGATCGTGTGTCCTCATTCTTTTTTCCCCACAAATTACAGCATTGATAAAAAATATATCAAAAGGGAAAAAAACACACAAGTATAAAGTTAAATGGAGTAATAACAAAAATGGTAAATTGTTTATTTTTTTAAAGCTAAATTCAGCCTTGAAATGGTTTGATCTGCGGTCAAATGATTATAAACATGTTCAAGAGGGAGTTCTTCCTTATTCAGTTTGCTCATGCTGCTGCTAAATTGGATTCCCCCCTGTTTCTGTCCCCTTGCTTGGTGTTTTGGGGGGGGGGGGGGGTCAGAGGTCAGGGTTAAGGGGGGTCAGACAGCTGTTGCTGCCTCTCACAGCAGCGGTATTCTGAGCTCGCCTTCAAGCACAGCGACATAGAAAAAAGAGCCGTGTTGAAAATGTAATGTCTGGAAGAAAATAAAATCTTAGTGCAGAGTTTTAGAAAACAATCACCTGGAAATGTACAAGTTTACCTGTACAAACCAGTGCTTCATAAGCACCGGATAACCACGTTCCTGTAAAGTACAGATGGCGACGTGCTGTCAAAAAGTATTCATTCCTCGCCAGATTTCTTATACTTTTGCTTTTGTCACACATAAAAAAAAACTTTCCAAATCAACCAGGTCGTCTTCAGGAATCATTTCAGTAGATCCCAAATAAGGCTAAAAGGTCTAAAAAGGCAACACACCACGGCCCATTCCGGACAAAAAATCCCCGAAACGGAATCTGTGGTTTCATTTGGTAAAAGTAAAGGTCATAGTTCAAGATTCAACAATAACAAAGAGACAGAGGCAAAGATAGCACCAAGGCACAAATCCCCGCTGACCCAAAACAAAACAAAGGGTCGTCTCATGTTTGTCAAAATTGAAATATCTTGATGATCACTAAGAATTTTATGAAAATTTTGGCAAAACAACAAAAAAAGTGGAACAAGACATGATAAGGAAAAATAACCATACGAAGAGTCAAACACGGCGGTGGTAGTGTGATGGTCTGGGCTACTCTTACATGAGTCTGACTGTCACCTTAAGTTCAAGAACTGCTGGTTTCTGTAGACGGACACCAGCACACCAGTAGGTCCGCCTCTGGACGTCTCAAACTAAAGGAAGGTTTTGAACTGAACAAATCATTGTCTGGCCTTAAATCTGATTGAGATGGTGCAGCTGGAAACCCTCCAAAGTCTGTAGATCATGTTCTTTTCCTTAACTCAGGTGCATTCCTCATCCCATACCTGATCTTCCTGTTCACCTGTGGTGTTCCCGTCTTCTTCCTGGAGACAGCTCTGGGTCAGTTCACCAGTCAGGGAGGAATCACCTGCTGGAGGAAAATCAGTCCTCTGTTTGAAGGTAAGACGAGCAGGTGTGTATCACCCCACAGGACACTATGTTGTTTTTAACCCTGGTTCTTGCAGGACTCGGCTACGGCACCCAGGTGATTGTGACTCTCCTCAACTTCTACTACATCGTTGTCCTGGCCTGGGGCATTTTCTACCTCTACTTTTCCTTTTCCTGGGACCTGGCTTGGTCGTCCTGCAACAACACATGGAACACAGGTACCAGAAAGCACCAGATAAAGATGTTCTTCAGCATTATAATGATGCATTTTCCCTCTCATAGAACACTGCGTTGAGTTCCAAAGGAGAAACTCATCAATCAATCAATCAGTCATCCTGAACGCCACCTCTCCTGTCATAGAGTTCTGGGAGTGAGTTTTCCCACCTCTAACCTTGCTGGTGTCATCGACGGCCATCCTGATTTTTGCTTATGTTGCTACAGGAGACGAGCCCTGAGGATCTCCCCGGGCATCGACCAAATGGGCTCTTTGAACTGGGACCTGTCCCTGTGTCTGCTCATTGCCTGGGTCATGTGCTACTTCTGCATCTGGAAGGGGGTGAAATCCACAGGAAAGGTGGGTGAGAGGGAACTTTGTGTTTAGCCTGAATCTGCACTCACATAAGAGCAACATGGGACATCTTTCCCCTTCGCTTTATTTGTTTGGACACACAGATTTGGGGTACGCCGAGGACGACATCTGGTGTTTGCTTTGCAGTGTTCCTCTTCCGCGTGTTTCTAACGGTTGTATCTTTTTTCCGTATAGGTGGTCTACTTCACTGCAACATTCCCTTATCTGATGCTGGTAGTGCTGCTGGTCCGAGGACTCACCCTGCCTGGTGCTGGCATTGGGATTCAGTTCTACCTGTACCCTGATCTGGGGCGACTGACCGATCCTCAGGTACTGTTGTGTTTCACAATCTGTAAAACCTTCAATTTCTATAAACAATCATCAAATCCAATAAAAACTACTCTTGTTGGTGTATTTGTCCCTTGTGGAGGAATGTGGAGGTCCCATGGCTCTCTCTTGGGGGGATTAGTCTCTGCTGGGTCCATCTGCTCATCATTTTTTTCTCTCTCTCATTTTCATAAAACCAAAACACCACTGGGACTGTAAACACAAGCCTTACAAGCTCTGAGCTGAGAGAACATTAACCGTTAAAACACAGATCCGTTGTTACTTTCTTCTACCTTTATGTAATGAACCACGCTCAAAAGAAACCATTTAAAATCTTGTTTAACTTTACTAAACTTGCTCTTGTAAAAATTCCGACAGATTTTGTGAAATTTGTTGCTTTTGAAACACAATATAGTTAACTGTTGTTGCTTGTGAATGGATACAGCGCTAACATCGGACAGTGTCCTGCATTTTTACTGCAGTTGTGGACAAACAGTGTTGGGGAGTAACAGAATACATGCATTTAGAATACAGTATTTTGAATAATAAAGATGAGTAACTGTATTCAGTGACAGTCACTATTTTTAAACATGGTATTTAGAACACAGTTACTTTCATAATACCATTGGAATACTTGTGTGCTTTCCACTTTTCACTCAAAAGATGAATTAATTTCGGGCAACATGCATCTCTGTGTTATGTAGGCTATCTATCCCATAATGCCCCTAAACAATGTGCCTCTGTAACCATAGTAACACTATGGCTGAAACCATGAGAAGGCTATACCAACATGGAGGTGGAGTGGGTGGAGCCACAACCGCAGCCAAATCAACCTACTAGCAGTGAAAGAAAAAATGCATTCACTTCCTGGAAATTCAAGCAATTTTTCACTGTAAAAAAGGAGTGAGGTGCCTGAAATCTGATGGTGCAGTGCAAGCTTTGTATTCCAGCTAACAACCTACTAGCTGAGTCCAAAGACTCAACATCTAATCTGAAGAATTGTTTTATTTTCCCAGTCAGTTCATATTGTTTAGCATAAACATGTCCTCTGTTTTCCTGAGGGAGTAGCTACCAACGCACATTGTGATATTCAATAGACTTAAATGCTGACTTTAAGGGGAAGTATTCCAAGTATTTAGAATACAGTACCAGGCTTAAGCAAAGTAATGGAATATGTTACAAAATACATTTTAAAGCAGGTGTTCAGTATTCTGTAACTAAATACATTTACAAAGTATTCTCCCCAACACTGTGGACAAATGACATGACTGCAGTGTGTTTAGACAGTTGTGATGAGCAAAAAGGTAGTACTGAGACCCAGTTATCACAGATGTTCATCACTTTAATTGTTTGAAAGTGGTCATTTGTATTCCAAGGGTTCTTGTGGGTGCTTGAAAGTCTTGAAATGTATTTTATTTATTGGGATACTTTTTGGAATTGCTTGATTTTTTTAATAAAGGGGCTGACATTTAAACAAAAACATATTTTCAGCGTAAATGTTTTGTTAAGTTTTTGTTAGAGTAAATTGTCAATAAATGCTAGAAAATCAGGAAAACCCACCTTGAAAGTACTTAAAATGTGCTTGAATTTAAAAATGGGAAATGTGAGCAAGAACCCTGAATTGTTCAAGAATGTCTTTTTAGGATTATTTATTCACTCCTAAATTAGCATTACCATGTGGACTTAAAGGTGCAATATGTAAGGATTTTACAGTGAAATAATGAGAAAAGTCTAATGCCACAATCATGTTCGAAAAAAGGTTATATTGAAACAAAATTCCTTCTCAGCCGACTGGGGGGGTTGTCAGTTTTTCTTCTTTTAAAATGTTCAAAGAGAGACATAGTCACCATTTACAATCTGTAAGCTAACGTTGCATTGCCGGCATTTGTAATTCGACACCGGCCAGCAAAACGCAACATTGTTTTATAAAAAGCCTAAGCCAATAAACAGGAGCGACCCAGAAGTCATTTCTTGTACCCCCAAGAAGCCATGCCGTCTTTTTATTTTACTCTAATATCGGGTGACGCAGGCTAGAGCTAACAATGCTAACGGTGCATTAGAAACAAATAGTTTGCTCTGAAATATCTCAGACTACTTTTAAAATTACCAACAACTCAATATTGCAGTGAAATGTACTTATCTACGAATTAAATCGTGTATCTAGAATCTTCTGGCGCTGATCCCAGCTGGCATTGGCCATGGAACTCAGAACGGTAGTGAGAAACATTTGTTTTGAAAATGGGCTTCAGTACCCTAATTTGACCACAAGGTGTCATTCAAGTTTAGAGCATTTTGGCAAAATTAATCAATATTATTCTTTTGGATTTTACATTTCATCAAAACCTGTCATTATTATTAGTATTATTATAGTAAATCTGATAAAATTTTAAGTATTTTTAAGACAAGTTCAATTTTTACTTTTCACAAAAAGAAATTTGGAGAATATTTGTAAAATGAATCCATCCAGAGTTTGAAGCAGCTGTTTATCTCACCGACTCTGACTGTCCCTCTGGGATCAGGTGTGGATGGATGCTGGCACCCAGATCTTCTTCTCCTACGCCATCTGCTTGGGTTCTCTGACGGCTCTGGGCAGCTACAACAAATACAACAACAACTGCTACAGGTATCTCATCAAGGCTGTGTTTTGATGCGATTTTCAGTGGGCTACTTCTCATAAAACATTTGTGTGAATTCTAAATATCCGGCTGTGTGTTGCAGTGACTGCCTGGCTCTATGCTTTCTGAACAGCGGCACCAGTTTTGTGGCAGGCTTTGCAATCTTTTCCATCCTGGGTTTTATGTCGTATGAGCAGAATGTTCCCATCTCAGAGGTGGCAGAGTCAGGTGTGGCTACATGACAGTTTCGGAGTAGAAATATTTACTTGATTTGTTCTTTATTTTAGGTTTTGAGCTAATTTGTTTTTGTTTTGTCAGGCCCGGGCCTGGCCTTCATTGCCTACCCTCGAGCTGTGTCCATGATGCCCTTCTCCCCCTTGTGGGCTGCACTCTTCTTCATCATGATTGTATTTCTGGGGCTGGACAGCCAGGTAGACAGCTGGATGAGCGTTTAGTTTTCACATCTTTTCATCCTTTTGTTTTGCTCTGTTCCTCACTTGTCCTTGCCTGTCAGTTTGTGTGTGTAGAGAGCCTTGTGACAGCGATTGTGGACATGTACCCTGCTGTGTTCCGACGCAAAAACCGCAGAGAGCTCTTCCTGTTGGCCGTGGTCCTCTTCTCCTTCCTCATGGGCCTTATCATGCTGATGGAGGTACACACACACACACACACACACACACACACACACACACACACACACACACACACACACACACACACACACACACACACACACACACACACACACACACACACACACACACACGCTAATGTTATTTGTTAAAAGATGTGTAAGTACAACAGAAAAATTATAATATGCACTTTTATCATCCTGTTGCAGCATGAAGATGTCTGTTTAAGTTGGTTTTAGACATTGAAGCAAATAAAGATCATTTATGTCACGATGGTCGACTGGGTACGGGAGTTGAGCTTGGTAAAGATGTTTGTTATCAGGATTATTCGGTAGAGAACTCTGATCAGGGGTTTCAATGAAACGATGACTGAGTGAAGAGCCGGTGCGGCGTCTTCCATATATAGGCTTGGGTGTGACTGGGAGAATGCCGGGAGTTCCCGCGAGGAGCATGCTGGGAAATGTGGTCCAAGATGGAGGCCGGTTAGCTGGGAGAGGCCGGTCTGGGGGCTTGGGTTCTGACAGGACCCCCCGGTCCAGGGACGGCTCCAGAAGTCCCAGGGCGACCTTGGCGGTCCCAGAAGTCAGAGACAAGGGCAGGGTCCAAGATGGAGTGGGCCGGCTCCCAGGAGCAATCCTCAGGGCCGTAGTCCGCCCAATCGACCAGATACTGCCAGCCCCGTCCCCTGCGGCGAGCGTCCAGGATGCGCCGGACGGTGTAGATGGGCTCACCGTCGAGGAAGCAGGCAGGCGGAGGCGCCGGAGCCGGAGGCAGAAGGAGGGAGGATTCCACGTAGGGCTTGAGCCGGGAGATATGGAAGGTGGGATGGATGCGGAGACTCGCAGGCAGCCGCAGCTGGTACGTGACCAGGTTGATGACCCTTTGCACGGGGTAAGGCCCAAGGAACCGGGGAGCGAGCTTCCTGGACCCGGCACGGACACGGAGGTCTGCCGTGGACACCCAGACCTTATCCCCTGAAGCATATGAGGGACCAGGACGGTGTCGGCGGAGGTGTTGGTGAGAGTAATGGTCGTTAGCTGCGGTTATGGAGGCCCGCGCCTTTATCCAGGCGTTCCTGCAGCGCCTCACCAGGGATTGAGCGGCCGGCACTGCAACTTCGGGTTCCTGGTGGGCAAAGACCGGGGGCTGGTAGCCATAGCAGACTTCGAACGGGGACATCAGAGTGGCCGAAGAGGTGTGGAGATTGTGGGATAACTCAGCCCAGAGGAGGTACTTAGGCCACTGCGAGGGTTGGGCCGAGACAAAGCAGCGGAGGTACCGACCCAATTGTTGGTTTGCCCGCTCCGTTTGGCCGTTGGTCTGCGGGTGATAGCCTGAAGATAGGCTGACTGATGCTCCCAACAGATGACAAAAAGCCCTCCAGAACCGGGCCGTGAACTGGGGACCACGGTCCGAGACCACGTCGACAGGAAATCCATGGAGACGCACCACATTCTCCAGGAACAACTCAGCTGTGCGTCGGGCCGAGGGGAGGCCCGGAAGGGCGATGAAGTGAACAGCCTTAGAAAACCGGTCAGTGACCGTCATGATGGTATTATGGTCGTTGACTGGTGGGAGCCCTGTGACGAAGTCCAACCCCACATGGGACCAGGGGCGGCTGGGTACCGGAAGAGGTCTGAGGGTACCAACCGAGGCCTGGTTGGATGTCTTGGAGTGGGCGCAGACGTCACAGGCACTTGTATAGTCCTTTACATCTCTCTCCATACGTGGCCACCAGAGAGCTCGTTTGAGGAACCTAAGAGTCCGTGAGAAGCCCGCGTGGCCAGACAGGCGTGATGAGTGGGCCCAGGACAATGCCTCGCTGCGACAGGCTGTGGGGACGTAGAGCCGACCCGCGGGGGTCTCTGGAGGCGCGGGATCGTCTCGGAGGGCGTTTTGGATAGCCTCCTCCAGTGGCCACCTCAGGTGGGCCAAGAAACGGTGCTCGGGGAGGATAGGTGCCGGCTCGGATGTGGGCGTTGGATGTGTGAACTGGCGGGAAAGGGCGTCCGCCTTCTGGTTCTTTGTCCCTGGGCGGTAGGCGAGATGGAATTCATAGGGCTCAAAGAAGAGGGCCCAGCGGGCCTGGCGAGGATTGAGCTGCTTGGCTGATCTGATGTGAGTCAGGTTCTGGTGGTCCGTCCAGATGGTGAACGGCTGTGTGGTGCCCAGAAGCCACTGCCTCCATTCCTCCAATGCCCACTTTATGGCCAGCAGCTCGCGATCCCCTACGCCGTACTTCTGCTGGGTGGTGGAAAACTTCCTGGAGAAGTAGGCGCAGGGATGAAGCCTGTCGTCGGGCCCGGCTTGGGACAAGATGGCACCGGCGCCAACATCCGAGGCGTCGACCTCGACCACAAAGGGGACTGCATGATCTGGATGGCGGAGGATAGGAGCCGACGTGAAACGGGCGACTAGGTATTGGAAGGCCCGAACGGCGTCTGGAGTCAGCCGGAACGGTTGGCTGGGAGGGCTTGGTCGGGTGAGAGAAGTGAGAGGTGCCACAATGGTGCTAAAGTCCTTAATAAAACGGCGGTAAAAGTTGCAGAAACCCAGAAAACTCTGCAGTTGTTTCAGGCTTGTCGGGAGGGGCCAGTCTCTCACCGCCTGGACTTTCTGAGGGTCCATGGTTAGTCCTTTATCCGAAATCATGTAGCCCAGGAATGATACGGACCGCTGGTGGAAGGAGCACTTCTCGGGCTTACAGAACAGGTTATTGTCCAGGAGCCGGGTTAGAACAGAGCGAACATGGTGGAGGTGTTCAGCCTCGGACTTGGAGTAGATCAGGATGTCATCCAGGTAGGCAAACACCCACCGTCCCAACATGTCGCGGAGGACATCGTTTATGAGGCGTTGAAAAACGGCGGGGCTATTGCACAGCCTGAAGGGCATGACCTGGTACTCCCAGTGACCGGTGGGTGTGATGAAAGCGGTCTTCCACTCATCTACAGCTTTAATACGGACCAGATTGTAGGCGCTCCGGAGGTCCAGCTTGGTGAAGATCCGCGCCTGGGAGATGGCGTCCAGGGCAGATGTGAGGAGCGGCAGAGGATGACGGTCTTTGACTGTGATTTTGTTCAGACCTCGGTAATCGATACAGGGGCGGAGATCACCCTCCTTTTTCCTGACAAAGAAGAAGCCTGCGGCACCCGGGGAGGAGGAAGGTCGAATGAAACCCTGCTGGAGGGCCTGGTCAATATATTCCTCCATGGCTCTGGACTCGGCGGGAGAGAGAGAAAAAAGGCGCCCCCGGGGTGGACTGGTTCCTGGTTGCAGCTTGATTGCAGCCGGGCGGTGAGGCGGCAGTGTGGTGGCGCGCCGCTTGTCGAACACCGCAGCCAGGTCCCGGTAGGGCAGTGGCAGATTGGGCGGTGTTTGGCCAGTGTCACCGTCCGGGCGGTCTGGCATGGATGTAGGAGGAGAGAGGTGGGCCTGGCACTGGGTCCCCCATTCCAAAATGCGGCCCTGGGACCAGGAAATCCGGGGGTCGTGGAGACTGAGCCAGGGAAATCCCAGGATTAGAGGAGAGGAGGGAGCACATATGATCAGGAACTGGAGGGTCTCTCGGTGGCCTTGGACAATCATCTGGAGTGGCTGGGTTCGGTTTTGGATCGGATAGGGTTGGAGGGGCCTACCGTCCACCGAGGTCACAGGCACAACTCTCTCCAAGGGGGTCATGGGGATCCGTAGGCGCTTAGCCAGATCCATGTCCATAAAATTGTCAGCGGCCCCTGAGTCCAACAGCGCGTGCATCTGAAGTGAGGTCTCACCATGAAGGAGGGTAACATGAAGAAGGAGTCGATTTGAAGAGGCGGGGGCTGAAGGTGACCCAGGCTGAGCGACCCCGATACTCAGTGGGTTCCTTCGTTTCCCAAACGTAATGGACAGTTCAGGCGTCTGTGGTGGGAGGAGCCACAATAGGCACAGAGACCCTCGCGCCACCGTCGCTGTCTCTCCTCTGGAGGAAGGTGGCCTAATTGCATGGGCTCATCAGTAGAAGCGGGTCCGGGAGCAGGCGTGGGGGAACGAGGAAGAGGTCCAGGCACCCTGGATGGGCGAGTGAAGGGCTTGGGCCGAACCAAAACCCGCTGATCCATGCGCAGCGCCAAATCGACCACTTCATCCAGAGTCTGGGGCAGTTCCTTTCCCGCCATCTCATCACGGATGTAGGTCGCCAGTCCCTCCAAGAAGACGGCTCGGAGGGCAGAGTCATCCCACCGCAGCTTGGCGGAGATGGTGCGGAACTCCGACGCATAAGCGCACACTGTGCGCTCCCGCTGGCGGAGCTTTAGGAGTTGTGTTTCTGCTCCCACTTCACTGCTGGGTGGAACAAAAGTCTTTCTGAGGGCGGACACAAAAGCAGCATAGTCATTGCAAGCCGGTGATTTGGAATTATAAAGCGCAACGGCCCACTCAGCCGCGCGTCCGGAGAGCAGGGAGGTGAGATGCGCCACCCGAGAGCGCGCAGTGGGAAAGCGCCCAGGCTGGCACTCAAACTGCATGTCGAGGGTGGCGAGCAGACCATCTGGGCTCCCCGTCTCTCCGTTCCACCTCTCTGGGAGACTAAAGTGCGGCCCCTCTGTTGGTGGAGTGAGGGCTTGCTGCTGGAGAGCATGGAGGGCTGTGGATAATTGTAGGATGAGATCGGTCTGGGAGTTTTGTTTGGTGTGGAGCCGATCGATCAGGGCGTGGAGCTGAATGAGTTCATTTTCCATTTGCTCCGTCTTTCTTTTCATGCGCTCGAACTCCGCTGGATCTACGGACTCAGTCATCCTGTCACGATGGTCGACTGGGTACGGGAGTTGAGCTTGGTAAAGATGTTTGTTATCAGGATTATTCGGTAGAGAACTCTGATCAGGGGTTTCAATGAAACGATGACTGAGTGAAGAGCCGGTGCGGCGTCTTCCATAAATATGCGGCTTGGGTGTGACTGGGAGAATGCCTGGAGTTCCCGCGAGGAGTATGCTGGGAAGTGTGGTCCAAGATGGAGGCCAGTTAGCTGGGAGAGGCCGGTCTGGGG